AATCTATTTAGCTAGTGATTGGGCTGCCAATAATCTCAACTACCTAAAACACGGGTAGGAACCCCTTACTACCAGCATTACCCGAGACTGGGCACTGAAACAAAGCAAACCCAGGTTCAAATACCAACGCTGCATTTTAACGTCATAGTAGCAAGCAAGTTGCTTAACTTTTCTAAACCTTAATTTTCTTGTCGTGTTATAAGGCTAACACCTCACTCAAAAGGTGGTTTTGAGGATTAAAAGTGGTGATGTATTTAAAGTGCTCAGGACTGTGCCTGGACCCATCATAATATAAATATATATGGACTGTTTACTACCTTAAACCATGACTAATGATCCACCAGACAGATTTATACGTTGAAGGGGTAATGGATTATAAACAAGCACACTGGAACATTAGGAGAGCTAACAGAAAGGTGTGAGACCAGAAGGTTATTAAAGCACCTCAGTAGCCCTTAATATCAAGTTATTACAATAGAATGAAGTTACAAATGTCATAATGAACTTGCACCATCTGACCAGTATAAATGGATTACGAAGGCAGGAAATATGTAAATTAATTTTTGAAAGATTCCCATCAGAAATTATTAAACTAAAAAAAGATCAGATATTTAAAAAGTCCACTTTTCAATTATTTGGAAAATCCATTTATGTAAAACTGATGACTCACTACAGGCAAATGAGCCGTACGTATTCTTCTTAAAAGGGAAAGGATCTCAATCAAAACATACTCAAATCAGCATTCTTATAACTCTATGTCAGGGAACTTTTATTATTCAGGGAACTATTCTAACTTGCAATGCATAGTTTATTACAAACGGAATTGTACTTATTTGAGATTTTCCTTTCTTCTGAATCTTGTTTTAGCGGTACTCATGAATATGCCCTACATATTCAAAACAACTGTTAGACATCCGTATTTTATGGAGATACAATAATGATTATGTAGCCATATGCTAAGAAATAGGGAACATACATTTTCTTAAGACTAGTTCAATCTACTTATATGATCATTCAATTTATCTATAAACAACTTTTTATAAAAACCCTTTTAGTATAACAATGAACAAGTTCATGAAAATATAAGGAAGTATATCTCTTTAAAATTCTATTCTTCTCGGATTTGGTAAGCTGCACCTTTATTCTGATTACACCTTCCAAGGTATTACAGGCTTCTACCCTAACTACTCTTTCCTCCATCCATTCCCCTCGTCTACACCAAGAGGAGAAAAGCAGCTATCACCTGAGCTGTTTGGTATGGCAGGGAGGTCTTTTCTAAGCTTCCAAACCTGGGTATATTTGGGTAAAATCAGCTCAGGGCTTTGAAAAGAATCACCTTTCTAGAAGGTTACCTCCAGATCCTTGGCCTAAACTAAAAGAAACTTGTATGTGGAAAATGCAGCTGCATGAATGAATCTCAAAGTAATAACGCTGAGTGATTCAGGTCACAGATATCATCTTTCCTAAGCTTGCCAGTCCAAGAATCCTTTCTGCCTTACCCAAACAGAGCGGGGACTGAGCCCCTGCATAAACATGTCCAGCGTTCACCCAAAGAATCACACCTGTCCAAGCCCTCCCAAAAAAGGAGAAGTACAGGTTGGAAAAGAAAACTGAAACGGTAAAATACAGTACCAAAGGGTTGACAATATTGGTGGGAGAACTAACCCTGGAAAAGTAAAAGGGCCGTCGTCCTTTCCCCCAAAACTGAAGAAAAAGAGACTTTAAAATCAGTGATAAATAAATTAAAAGACTACTTACCACCAAGGTGGGTGCTGTCAATAATCCCCAAGCAAAAAACTCCAAAAAGATGACGATAACCGCATGATAAACACTAGGAGAACCTATTCCTTGAGGCTATAAAAACAGATTTTAAAAAAGTTAAGGGTGCATTACAGAATTACTAACAATGATAGCAAGTGTCAATAAACATTTATTGAGAACATACATGTATTGGGCACTACATCAAACATCTGGACACCCACTGTCCCTGTCCTCAAGGTGACAGGGACAGACAAGGAAGCAAATAAATACATTACATAAGCACAGTGTGCAATGGGAACACACAGAGTCCAGGGTGGGGATGGGAATACCAGACTTCCAGGAGGAAGGGTGAAAGGATGTTAGGATGAGGTGAGGGGCGGGAGAAGGGACAGCGGAAGTTAAGGCAGCAGCCTGCACAAAGGCTGCAAGACCTGAGAACAGGAGGCATTACAGGACTCCTATAGTTCAGTACAACTAAGAATGGGCCACGCTTTCGGAGTATTGAGAGATGAGCTAGGGGCACACAGGACTAACTTCCACGCTAAGGAGTCTATATTTAATTCTGAAGGCAACGGGGAGCCACTAAAGAATGTCAAGTAAGACTCACATGATCACATGAAACTTCTAAGAAAGATCATTCTGGCAAAGGCGTAGCAGATAGATTAAAAGGTGGCAAAACTAAGAAAAGTTAACAGTCAGGAGGCTACTGTGCTAACCCCAAAACGTAAAGGACGCACGTGAAGCATCATTAACAGACACTAACACGCTCCAAAGCAGAACAGTCCCCACAATAGCATGTAAGAGATTCAGGATTTGATATACACAAGACAGAAAATACCAAATTAAGTTTATACCGCTGCTAGAGATGTCTTAAGAATTACTTCAGTTGTTGAATTTCATATTTCTAGGGGCAACATTAAAATGATGGGAAAGCAAATGACCTATAATATTAACTCAGTTTCTGCTGACAAGTTTGTATAACAGAAAAACAAGTCTAATCAACACATAATACAATGTCATACTTAAGTTTTAAAGTCTATTCGATAGTCTGATGTGGAAAATATTAACAGTGTTTGGGTCTCTCCATACTTTAAAAATGATACATCATTTTTAATATTGTGATAATGCATCTTCATCATTTAAAAAAATGTCCTTCCCAACTTGCAGAATTTAGGTACCTGAAACCCCCCTCAGTAGGAGAACTTGCAGCTGAGGAATCTGAGACAGACAGAGGTCGGGTGGGGTTTGGGGGACACAGACGTTGAGGGACTATAGCTGGGAATGAATCTGTACCAGATCTCAGTCATTCAACAAATATTTACAGACCACCTACTAGGCACCAGAGGTGCTGGGACCACAAAAACCAAGACACATTCCCTGATCTCAAGGAGTTCACAGCCTAGATAGGAAGAAAACTCGTTACAATCATCTGCTTATGTGTAACTGAAATGAAAGAGATATACGCAAGTTAGGAAGCAAGGAAAGAGTACTGCAAGAAAAGGAAGTAGTGTAGACAATCACATCCGAGAAAACCAGAATGAAATAGACAAGGGCCATGACAGTTTAAGGACAATGGAGAATAACGTTCTAATCATGGAGAAAAGCAAGGAAGGCAGATGAGGCAGCTGCTAAGCTTTGTTAAGGAGTCTCACAGGAAACCATTGAAGGGTATCAAGCAAGAGGACAGTGTGATAGACCTGCACGTTTCAACACACCATGGTGATTTCCTAAAGGATGAAACTGAGCAGCAAACTGCATGCAAAAGGAGATAATTTCAACCAGTTCAAACAAGTGATGATGAAACAGGGGAGTGGCCTGGATGCTGGAGGGGAGGGAGTGGATATAAGCATTTAGGATTTGAAACTGGCAGAATTTGGTAAATGTGGGAGGGAGAGTCGAGAGTGACCTCCAAGTTTTTAGCTTAGTTATCTACTAGTGGAAGTTGGTAGCTTTCCAGTTTTTTTCCCCCTAGGAGGCTCAGATTTACTTTAGGTCCTATCTGAGACTGCCCCTTGTACTTGAAACATTTCTATTGTCCTTTGAGGGCTAATTAAAACAATTAGTCAGCAGCAAATGTGACTGTTGGAAACTACCAGTGTAGATGAAATTATCTGGAGAAGATGAAGTGTGAAAAGAGCAGTGGGCTAAGACAGAACCCCAAGAAATACCAATATTTCAGTAGTAGACAGAAGAAAAGGAAACCATGAAGAAGATAAAGGAATAATCAAAGAGGATCAGGAGAATCAAAAGAATATAGTGTCACAAACGACGAAGGAGCAGTTTTAGGAAGGAAGAAGTGATGACCAGTACCACATAGGGTAAGTAGAGGGAGATAAGGTCAAAAAATGTCCATAGGATTTAGTAAAGCTCCACACCAGTTTTGTTCACCGCCACTTATACTCAGCACCTAGAAGAACACCAAGTAGAACTTCTCAGTGCCTTCAAAATGGTAATTTATATTATGAATCTCTGAGAAGCTGCAGTGTGCACTGTTTTCCAAACTTGACCAAGGAATCTTTTTTTCATATAGGAGATATTATCTCATGAACACTTGACCTCCTTAGAAAACTGTTTGGGAAACACTGATAAAAAGTAGATGATAATTATCTAACAATATGTGTAAATATACACAGAGCAAAATGGCTAGAAGAAAATAATGTGTTAAAAGTGGGCGTTTAGGGGCCAGCCCCGTGGCCAAGTGGTTAAGTTCACGCGTTCTGCTTCTGCGGCCCAGGGTTTTGCAGGTTCAGATCCAGGGTGCGGACATGGAACTGCTCATTGGGTCATGTTGAGGCAGAGTCCCACACCCCACAACTAGAAGGACGCACAACTAAAGTATACAACTAGGTACTGGGGGGATTTGGGGAGAAAAAGCAGAAAAAAAAAAAAGAAGATTGGCAACAGTTGTTAGCTCAGGTGCCAATCTTTAAAAGTAAATAAATAAATAAAAGTGGGTGTTTAAGTGAAGAGCACTTAATCAGTTGAGAGGCATGTCAAGGAACGCTTCCCAGAGAAGGCAGGAGGTACTATCTAAACTGAGACCTCACAACCCAGTGGGAAAGACGTCAAGATTGTCAGGTGTATATGTCCATTTGGGAAGGTCGGTGGAGGGAAACGATGGCCAAATGTGTCTGAGGTAAAGGGAACAGCATCTGCAAAGGCCAGAAGACAAGAGATATTGTAGCTTACTGTATCTGATATATGATATCTAAGGTTTCCACTATCTAAGGAGAGAAGTGATAAACGATCAGGTTGAGAGGTGAGCAGAGGTGAAACTGAAGAGGTGACTCAACAAAGGCCTTTTAAATCACATTAAGGCCTTGAACCTGAAGGCAGCAGAGTAACATTGAAATGTTCTAACTCAAGAGTAACATCACATTATAGGATTGCCTTTCTGGAACCATAATTTTCACTGCAGTGTGGCGAATAGGCTGAAAGAGAGGGAGGAAGACCAGAAGGGAAGCTATCGAACATACCAGCAGGTAAGAGGTAACAGTAACTTGAACAAGACAGCAGTAGTAGGGATAAAGCAAAGTGAATGAGTATAAAAAACATTTAGGAAAAAGGACTGAGTGGTTGACTAGATATAGCAGAAGAGGATAAGGGAAGATCGAAGATGAAAAGGTAAGAGTTCAGTTTCTCGCCTGGTCAGCTGGACAGTGAGGAAAGGGGAAAGAACAAAAGATCAATTAGTTCTAGGCACACCAGTTTGAGAAAAACTTGTATAACATGAGCTGAATTTAGGGCAAGAAACTCAGGAAGATAAGTAAGAAACAGCAAAAGATTAAGATCTCAACCAAGTAAAGCAATCATAAAAACCAATATAAAAGCATTAAGACACCATAAAAATATAAAGGATATAAACAAATAATTTTAAAAACAGCTAATAACATTCTATCCTATGGATATACCCAAACATTCAGAGAAAGTTCCACCACAAAGATGTTCAAAGCAGCACGACTTACAGTAGGAAATGTGGAAACCTACAGGTTCAACCTTTAGGTACATGTCCTATAATCAAATCACATACGTAAATCAGACAGAACAAGATGCAGGCACAAATTGTTTACAGATAATCTTTAATGACAGGTAAAAATGCTTATGGCAATGTTAAACTTCAAAAATCAAAGCAGGATATAAAATTGCTTATGTAGAGTAATCTCAACTATGAAAAACAAAAAAACTCACCTCAATGTTAACAGTGTTTATGTTAGGTAGCAATTTTAAGTGACATAAAATTGTTTATTATGTTGTTCTGAATTTTCTAAATCTTTTTTAACAGGCATGCTTGTACTTTAAATAAATGTTTTATTTAAGAGAAAAACTATGCAAAACTAGAATGGAAAAAGATAGGGAGTGGCATATATTTGTCCCTCCTGGGCCATTCTCTCATATTTCCCAGAATTGGGAGGAAAAAGTCTATTTTTTTTAAAAAAAAGCAGGACAGGGCAGTGGGGGCCAGGGGGTAGACATCTGTTTGTCTTAAAGTACTGGTAATTTTGAGAGTTGTACTATATCCATAATCATCTCTTCTGTTTTAAATGAATTCAAAAGTAAATCAAGACCTTAATAAAACTGACAAAATTTAAAAATATTTTACTGATTTGAAATTACAAAAACTTCTAGGTAGGGCTTTTGACATAACAGAATATGTCAAACATAATGGAATAACTATCCATAAGCAAAATTTCAGGACAATTTGGGAAGGAATACAAGGGTCATGGCCTGGGCAGAAAGACCAGGGGAAGAGGGTTAACAGACAAGTAGGGGGCAAATATTTGACCAGTAAGTGGTTACAGCATCAAGAGCAGAAGAGTTCAGGGGGCCAGTCCTTTGGTGTAGTGGTTAAGTCCATGAGCTGCTTTGGCAGCCTGGGGTTCGCCAGTTTGGATCCTGGTGCAGACCTACGCACTGCTCATCAAGCCATGCTGTGGCGGCGTCCCACATAGAAGAACTAGAAGCACTTACAACTAAGATATGCAACTATGTACTGGGGCTTTGGGGAGTAAAAAAAAAAAAAAAAAAAAAAGAGGAAGATTGGCAACAGACGTTAGCTCTTGGCCAATCTTAAAAAAAAAAAAAAAAAACTTGCCTGAAAAACCTTCCAAAAAAAAAAACTAGAGAGTTCAGATCATAATGAGATCATATCAACAGATGACATTTGAGGATACTCAAGAGAAGTGAAGAGGTACAAAGTGAAAAATCCTGAAGGAGACATAAACTATCACATACCTAACTCCAAACGCCAAGATATGCCACCTAAATCCATAGTAATTACTAGACCAGAAGTCCACTAGGCTGAGTAATTTTTCACTTTTGGAGGCAGGAGAGATGGTTCCACCCCTAACTTCAACCTCAAGAGTGAAGGACCATCTCCTCTAACCCTGCCTCCACCCTCCAATCTAATTCCTATTCCCCAAATCATACTTTTCATTGGTAGTAGATTTGGCTTCATGATCTAGGCTTTTGGCTAAGCCTTTGAAAGTCTACTTATTTATTCTTCTATCCTGTAATACTAGGTAACTTCTATGAAGTTTTATTTTGCCATGTAAAGTACTTATTTCATCTTATTTAACCTAAACTTACCTTTTCTCAAGTTCATGCTAAGGCAGGCCCTTTATTATTTATGCTTTATTATTCTACATCCTGGAGCATCTGGTACATGCATGGCACAAAGGTGCTTAATGAATGCTTGTAGAATTGAAATGAATTACTCTCTAAGTCTCTTCTACCTATCTCTATAGACATTCAGTCATTGTATTTAAACAATGTTAAAAGGGCAGCACAGGGGCGGCCCCGTGGCCAAGTGGTTGAGTTCCCGCACCCCGCTTTGGCGGCCTGGGGTTTCACCAGTTTAGATCCTGGGCATGGACATGGCACCGTTCGTCAAGCCATGCTGAGGTGGCATCCCACATAGCCAAACTGGAAGGACTCACAACTAGAATATACAACTGTGTACTGGGGGGCTTTAGGGAGAAGGAAAAAAAAATGGGGCAGCATATTCATTAATTAAACTTGCAACTTCCCCTATTAATTCCCTCCTCTATACTCTGATATCCTATGGTTGCTACTGTATCATCTATCACATGGATTCATTGTACACAGACACTAGATTAAAATAATAAATAGGTATTACTGAAGACTTACAATGGTTTACATTCATAATCTTATTTACTCTTCCTAACAACCTTTCAAGTTAGATACTACTATCTCCATTTTACAGCCCAATACAGCAAATAAGAGAAGGAGCAGAGTCAATCCAGGCAACTCTGAAGCCCAAGTCTGGAGTCCCGCTGGTTGCAGTGGTCACACTGCATACATTGCCACAGGCTGTTACTCTCTTAAGTGTAGGGATCCAGTCTTATCCATTTTAGTATCCCAATGCACAGCACAATGTCTGGTACAGATAGGGTATTTAATGCCCATGGATTGACTGATAGCCCTAATGATAGTCACTAAGCTGCTAGGTGACTTAAGTATGTCACTTCACCTATCCCAGCAGTTGAGGGGTAAACAATTAACCACCTACCCAAATCCTCATCTAGCTCTCATACTCTGAGTCTATGCTTGCGCAAGCAATATGAGTTTATGAATCCAGCAGTTATTATGCAGGACATTGACTTTGATAACTTATGTTGTATTCCTATCAGTGATCTGCAGGCTTACATGGATTGTTGGCCAGGGGACAGAAGTAATTCCACCAATAGCTGGGCATTATAATGCCATTACAATCCCACTTATTAAACAGGATGTTATCCTGTGAGGAAACAATGAGAATAAGCCAAAGTGAGGCTCACTCTTCAAAATAACTGGCCCAGACTATTCAAAAATGTCAATATCATTAAAAAAATCTATTCTAGAATGAAGAGACATGGCAACGAAAAGTAACGATTAAATTCTGCATCCAAAAAAAGACAGCTATAAAGGACATTATAGGGACAATTGGGGAATGTGACTATGGACTATATACTACAGAATAGCATTGTGGTAATGTTAAATGTTCTGAATGTGATGACTGCATTGTGTTTATGTGGGAGAATCTCTCTATTCTTGGGTGATACCATCCTGAATGCTTTAGGGATAAAGTGTCATGATGTCCATAACTAATTCTCAAATGGTTCAGATAAAATTTGAGTATATATAGAGAGAAAGGAAAAATGAATGTGGCAAAATGTTAACAAGCGGTAAAGTGTTAATCTACGGGATGGGCAAATGAATACTCATTATGTTATTCTTGAAACTTTTCTGTAGTTTTGAAAATTCTCAGAACAAAAGCTGGAAAAAATAAAAAATACGATAAAAACCAGAATAAGGTATGAAGGAGAATCATTTTGAACTTGGAATTTAATACTCACAGTATTAGTCAAGAATGAAGGTAAAATCCATCTTCAGAAAGAAATATTGAATTTTCTCTGAACAATACATAACTAAGCTGACTAAAATAATTTAATGTAAAAGTCTTACACAAAAAAAGACCAATACACTTAGTCATAGGTATCTGAGAATTGTAGCTTTTCGTGGAGGAACATAAAAAAAGTTCCTACAGAAAACAGCCCAACTCCAAGGCTGCTTTCCTGGGCTCCTGACCGCTTAGGGCCTAACTGGGGGAGAGGCAGGGCTGCAGTGCTGGGATGTGGCATCACGTTTCCTTTGTCACAAAGTCAGCTGATGTTTTTCTTATTTTCTCTGACTTTAATCAAGCAAGGAAAAATTTACTACATTTGTGAACAAAAAGAAAACCGAACCTCAATTTCCTGAAAGTATGAATCACCACAAGCACGGAGAGCAGCCAGCCTGGTGATCTAGTGGTTAAGATTCATTGCTCTCACCACCAAGGCCCAGGTTTGTTTCCTGGACAGGGAACCACACCACTCATCTGTCTGTCGGTTGTCACACTGCGGCGGCTGGGTGTTGCTGTGATGCTGAAAGCTATGCCACCGGTATTTCAAATAGCAGCAGGGTCACCCATGCTGGACAGGCTTCAGCAGAGCTTCCAGACTTACACAGACTAGGAAGGACCTGGCCACCCACTTCCAATAAAACTGGCCATGAAAACCCTATGAACAGCAGGGGAGCACTGTCTGATACCGTGCCGGCAGGTGAGAGGATGGAGCATACGGCAGGGCTCTGTGTGCTGTCCAGAGGGTCGCTGGAGTCGGAACTGACTCATCGGCACTAACAAGAAAAGATGTAGAGACACTAGTATACTAAGTCATTTGGCCTTAATTTGAAGTGAGACTTTATAATTATTCTACTGATATGTTATGGATCAATTCTAAAGAGATATTCAGTATTTGTGTATCATCACAGAAGTGAAAAGGTATTGGCTGGATAAGAACAATCTTAAGATTTAAGAACAATCTTAAATAGATTTAAATACACTTCTTAAAAATATTCAACAAGAGCATTAGTAATACTGAGTTTTACTCTAGAAAACAAAAAGGCCTAGAGCTTAAGACCATATTGCTTTGTGGTAAATTCTGAAAAAATACGTGACACGATAGACTAATACATCCCCTTCCATTCTTAGGAGGAAAATATGTGGCTGTTAAATCAAGTTAAGCCATCACTACATGAAGTGCTTATCCCCATGAACAACTAATGGATTACATGGTTCAAATGACTACAAACTAAACTCACTAAAAAGGCAAAATAAAATTAAAAATAAAAAATCACCATCAACACAAATATCAAACTGTCACCAACGTCTAGGATGGAGCCTAAACTCAGGACTGGTCTTAGTGTAATCTCTTAATCTCTCCGTTTATGTAGCTAAACGATGAAATACTACCTACCACCCCTTAATTTTATAAGAAGCCTCCCTAAGAGGGGGAAGTACATCATGTGGTAGAGTTCATAACTATACATCACTGAGACAGTGGGCTCATTATTAAGAATAAGCTACTACATCTGGCCCTCAAAGAGATAAAAACCCACGTCAGGGATCTTGACATACCTGGCTGAAACTGTCAATTGTTACTTTAATTGACACTTCTTATAAAAATAATGCTAAAAGACAACTTGAGCTTTTAAATAATTGAAAAATTTAAATCATATATACTCGTCAAAATACTACTCGGAAAAAGCTATTCTTTTACTTAAAATTCAAACTTTTGGTAGCTGCAAATGAGTTACACTCAACTACAAGTGAACTTCAGCAAATGCTATGATTATACTGGGAAACAGGTCTTCAAACTATATTAGGATGAACTGGACATATAATCTGAGAAAACTGCTTACTAACTTATCCCCAAACACACTGACCTAAAGCAAATGTCGAACCATGAAGGTAAGGAGGTAAGTCATTCATGGTACTGCAGGCAACAAGCTCGCCAAAGACATACATACATACATACGCATATATCCTGATATTTCTACTAGGCATGAGCTAGTGACTTCAAAGAAGAGCTGCTTTTTGAAAGGCACCAGGGCGTTCCTCCTCATGGCTTGCATACTAGCAACCAGAGGCTGACTATTTAGTAACTCTCTGGGGGCTACAGAGAGCTATCCTGCAACTCCCTCACCATTCTCCTAGGGGAAGATGCAAAGGATCAGAGCTTGGTTCCAGACTTCTGATGTGGTTGCTAACTCCTATTTACTGTGATTAAAATCAGAAGTCTCAGGAATAAAAACCTGGTGCTCTGCCTCTCTGGGCATATTTTATTTTGCAAATAAATATCAATTTTATTTTCTTCAGGTACTTCCAACAAAGTAATTTACATATGCCTTGCTTTCTATCTAATCTTTAAAGTCATTTTACCAATTCACTCATGAAAAAAATTGGACATTTTTCGCTTCATCAGAGATGCAGACCCACATCTGTATTCATAAAACAATAAGGATCACACAAAAAAAGAGGAAAATTCTATTTTTGATAATACAAATAACTCATGTACATAACTCTTTAGCTCTTAGCCTCTACCAAGAATGCTTATAAACAATCTGGTGATACATAGTAATGATTTAACAACAAAACTGGAAGTATTCTAAAATGTGAGAATGCACATTTAATTCAACAGTCCTAAACAGTCTGTACTGAATAAGAGATCTATCAAAATGTTATATACATTAAAACATAACTAAAAACTCTATTTCTACAGAAGGATGCTTTAAAAAGCAAATTCATCAATAACGTCACAAATACTTTCATCAGCAAAATGGTATACAGTAGATGATTAAGTAAATTTTTAATGAATGTAACCTGTGGAGCTATTTTTTAGTTACTTATGTTGTTTTCAAATAGAACAATTATTCTTAATTTGGGGAGTATCGATCCTTTTGAGAAACCTCCCTAAAAAACGTTTAGTCAGAATTTTGCCAACAACTTCAGGGTGAACAAACCCGGGTTAAGAACTCCTGATACAGAAGCACACACCTTCATGTAATTTACCTTAATTGAGTACTACTCAAATGGACAACATTAGTTAGCTTTACCAGGGCTTCAGAGCCAACTGAAATACAATTTCAAGAAAAGAAAAACATTTAGTAACTTCTGATTAACCTGGTTCATTTAGAAAGGTCCACTTCTTCAACTCTTCCAAAACTATAATAAGTCTGTGCTAAGTCTTTGACAAATCATTAACGACTCATTACTAATTTTGTTTATCAATATTAAAATTGGCTGATCAGGCTTACAAAGATGTCATTAGCAGAAGAACAAAGCAAAATAATTTTATTAACATTGTTGAACACTAGGAAGAAAATGGAAGGGGTTCAGGTCAGTACCACTGGCCAGGGATGTGAAATATTGTTCAGAGCCTGTCATGTAGGACTGTATCAACTCAGACACCTGGCTGAATGAATCCACCCACTGGCAGAACTTACACACAACCACAGGAAGAACAGAACAATATCAAATGGCAATTTTATCCCCTTTCTCAAAAAATGTTCATAACTGCAGTCTGACCAGTTTTAAGTAAAGGCAGAAAAGCAAATGCCATTCTAAAATCATTTCTATTACTCTAATAGTTATACTTTCTTTCATTTACAGTGAGGGTAGATTAAAATACAAACACTGCAAAAAATTACACTGACACTTCTGGAAATACAAATATTCTGATTATAGGAACAAACTTACAATAAGAAAAATCACCTAGGTATGTAATACACACATTTTTAAAATCACTTTAAATGTGTTTTTATCACTTTAAATTTACATACTAGGCCCTGTAGAATGCAAAGACGCATAAACAAAGCCCCTATTCTAAGGGGGCTCTTAGAATGGAAAAGTTCAACACAAGTGTATAAAGATGATAAACGCTAATGCCCCCATGCCCACAGCCCTCAAGAAAAGCTTTCATTTATTCCCTGGGCCCTATTAAAAATATATTGCTGGTGTAAAAATTGTATTTTGTGTCCAAAAGCAAGCTATGAATTCACTACAACTTTAATAAACGATACAAAAAATAAAAAATCTCTCCCAAATCTCACAGGATTTGATTGCCGTAAAGCAAACCAAACAAAACCCCAAACAAAACTCCAAGGAGAGGTAACAAAACGGAACTTTACAAGAAAAGGAAGGTGTGTTTCTTCACCACAGCTTCATTCTTACTTTTTGCAAAGACCAATCTTAAATCTCACTTGCTTTTATAAAATACAATCCTTTGTTGCTTCTATTTTGTAGATTTTATGAAGGATTTAAAATATCAAGTCCCTACGGTTGACGAAAGCAACCAGTATTCTTTCAAGCTATTTCTCTCCCAACAGAGCAGTTCTAACCAACTTGGTCAAAAGAGCCAGGACTATTCATAACTGATTTAATCAAAGTAACGTTTTAATCAAGTACAACAAAAAGATCTGAGGACTTGAATTTCAATTTCTTTTTTCACCAAATGTGAAAGCTACAACATCTAATAAGTTTGACAGTAAACTAAAAGTACATTCTGAAATTGCTACATATGTCCCAGGCTTTCTAAATTTTAGCATATTGACTGGGCCATATTCTGAAATGTGAAAAGAAAGCTGTCGTTTATTTTAAATGAATTTAGCAAATCCTCAGTGGTAGCCTAATGACATATTTAGCACTGTGCTGGCAGTTGATCAGGGCTCCAACAAAATACAAACAAATTATGGAATAAAAGGAATCACTTCTGCACACTTCTTGGGAAACCGAAACAAATTTCACTTTCCATTCTATTCGAGAATGTGATATCAAAGAATGCAACAAAGACCAGAGAGTGTAGCCACGGAGAAATTTCAGCAGAAAAAAAGTACAGGCGAGTCATTTTCAATTAAAAAGCCTACGTCCCCTGCTGGTTAACAACAGCACACTGCACAAAGTTTATTGTGATGACAACTGTTTCTAAAAAGCAAAATCTTTTCTTGCCCTCAATCTGTCTTCCTTTCAAAGTGTCTTCTAATCCTCAGGCCCTGACCAATTCTATTTAGTATTTTTTAGTTTTAAAATAAACAAGGTGATTTCAAACTAACAGGGTGATTACAGTTCTTTCTAAACTAGCAGACTGAAGTCTAGGCCCCAGGGGTCCTCCGTCCGTCACGCTCCGACTGCGGGAAGACAAGAGGGAAGCCCACCTTTGGACAGTGTTGACCGCACTGGAAGCAGCTCAGGGCAGGAGCACTGACCCAGGACGAGGTGGAAGAGGAGAGCCAGCGCCCCACGGGGCCGCAGCGGGGTCGCCGCGCCAGATGCCACCTCGCCAGCAGCATATGGGAAGGCAGGGATTGCTGCCGGCCGCCCCGAAAGCCCGGCCCCGGCGACGAGGGGCGCGGCGGGCCAGCACCGCCCGGACCTCAGGACCCCCGGCCGGCCGGCGGGAGAGACCGACGCGAATTCCTCCCCGCGGCGTTGGCGCACGTGGGGCTCGAGGCCGCACGGCCTCCAGGGACGGCGGGAGGAGAGGGCGGCAGGTGCGAGCAAGGCCAGTGGCTTCTCCCAGAGGAGGGGCCCGGAGGCCGCAGGCCCGGGCTGGGGAGGAAAGCCCCCGGAGCACAGGCATGGGGGCCCGGGAACCCGAGGCACCGGCAGCGCGGACGGGGTGAAGGAGGGCAGGGCCACTCAGGGGCGGCTGGAGGCGGCAGCCTTGGGGACAGAAAGAGATCGGATGGGGGCCCCGAGAGACGCTCCCCGGCGCGGTACCCCAACTCACCGTGCCTCCGTCCTTAATGATGATCTTCTTGGCCAGCATGATACTGCGGTTCGCGGCCCGTTTCTTCTTCTTCCCCTGGGTCATTTTACCATCCTCGATTCCTGGCGCTGCTGCAGCCACTCCCGGGGCGGCCGGCCCCAGCGGCGAGTGCCGTCCCGCCACTACTGCCGGGCCGAGCCGCTCGGGGCGCCCGCCGCCATCTTGAGGGCCCGGCCTGCCTCCGGCGGCGCGTCACATCGTGCGATCTGCCGACGAGCCCGGCCCGCCCCGCCCACGTGACGCCGTCCCGCCCGCCCGGCCGCTCCGCAGTCGCCGCGCGGGGATGGCAGCCCGGAGGGATGCCGTTAGGGTCGCCGGGGTCTGCTCGCCGCCGGTTGAGCCCTGTGCTTGGCTCACCAGCTGGCTTAATCCTCCTAACAACCCTGGGCCCTGGGGACCGTGATAGTCCCCGTTCACAGATGAAGAATTCTAAGTTTCTGAAAGCTACCTGCTCATGGAAATACGGCTGATAAATGGTTGCTCTGGAGTTCTAAGCAAGCGTCCTCCGCTTTAAGTGCTATCTCCAACTATGTTCTAACCAAGACGGAAACTGAAGGGAACGGTTAAAATAGTTTTCCAGAAATAGTGGGTAGCTGAACGGGTGAAGAAAAAGTGGTTTTGCAGAAATAACCTTTTGTCCTTCTGGCTCAGGGCCCCCCAAAGCTCAACTGGAGCATGCCTGTTTCCAGCAGCTCCCTAGTTCCAGAGCATTTTCTTTATTCCCTGCCAATGAAAACTTACACAACCTGTGTCACACTCTGTAGCCCACTACCTGTTTTCTCATTTTGTTTAAAAATCAATTTAATTGCGGGGGAAACTAGAAAGGATAATTGACACAAGCAGAATATGGACTGCAGATTAAAGTATCACGATGTTGAATTTGAGTTTGATAACTGTACTGTCTCTTTTTCCTTAAGACGTACAATGAAGTCTTAAGGAGTGAAGGAATGTGATGCATGCTACCTGCTCTCTCAAACGGTTAGGAAATAACGTGTGTATATGTGAGAAGAGGGTAAGAGAGTGACAAAGCGAAATGGCAAGATGTTAAAAAATAGTGAATTTGGGTATGGTGATTTTAGGATATGTTCATTTCTGGAAGAGGTGGAGTCTTAATTCCCCTCCCCTTGAGTGTAGGCTGGGCTTAGTAACTCTTTCCATCTAACAGGGATAGCAGAAGTGACAGCATTGACTTCAGAGGGTAGGTCATAAACGGCACCACAGCTTCCTTGCTAGCTTTTTCATTCACTCTGGGCCCAAGTCTGGGGAAGCCAGCCGCCATGTCATAAGGACAGTCAGGCAGCCTATGGAGAGGTCCAGGTGTCCAGGAACTGAGGCCTCCTACCAACGGATAGGTGAGTGAGTCATCTTGGATCATCCAGACCAAGATGGTAAAGACTTCAGCTGACTGCAGCTTCAGGATATCCTGAGTTAGGACCTCCCAGCTTAGCCACTCCCAGTTTCCTGACTCTCAGAAACTGTAAGATAAAAAGTACTTGTTTTAAGCCATTAAGCTTTGGGGTAATTTGTTACACAACTATAATAACTAATACACAGGGTAAAAGGAATGTGTTCTTTGTACTATTCTTGCAGCTCTTCTGGAGGTTTAAAATTATTTCAAAATAAAATGTTAAATAATAAATTTGATTGAGTTTTCTCTTCCCTCTTTTCATAACTGACTAGAAAGGGAAAACAAATTGCCATGGAAGAGAAAGGCATTTTAGCCCGGTAGATACTTTAAGTGAAGTTTTCCTATCAATAAGTAAAGTCATCATTTGTTTAAAGATATCTTCTTGCTGAAACATTTAATTGAACTCCAACTTGAGGCTCTTTAGAGAAAGTAATATGATAGATTTTATAATGAAATCCCCAGGAGCTTGTTTTGGATGGATGTAGAGGGCCAGTAAGATCATTTATTGTGTGGTTACTCTGATTTTCAAGGCCCCTCAAAACCATGCTTCATCCAGCTGCACCAATTTTATCATCTTTAAGATCTGATTATTGTTCAGCCACTCAAAAAATATTTATTGAGAACCCATAAGTGTTTGTTACTGCTCTTCTAGACACTGGGGATACATCAGTAAACGAGATGGTGTTTATCTGCATGGAGCTTAATTATACTAGGCGACACAGTTAGAAAACACACACAAAAGGAAGATAATTGCAGGTGTGCTAAGTGCTGTTGGAAATAATATATAATAAGAGAAATTTAACACATATTGAATGTCCAGCATGTCCTAGGCTTTGTGCTAGAAGAGCTGCAATAGTAAACAAGAGAGAACGGTCTTGTTCTAACAGACTAAGTGTGTATGTTCTTGTGATCTGGGGTTGTGAGGAGTCACAAACTTTAAGAGGTTGATATGTCAATTAGGGTTCTTTGATCACAGTCAACAGAAACTAGCACTGGCCAACATAAGCAAAAGGGAATGATTTGGAAGAATATTGGGAGTTCCCGAAATTAATGAGAAGGCCAAGAATCAGGCTTGGAAACAGGCAAGAACCAAACTGTGGAAGGTCCATGAGACTACTTCATGAGGCACCTTGGAAGGCAGAGGGGTTCCCTGGAGAGAAGGACTAGAGGTTGAAGCTAAATATTCCAAAAAAAAGATAAGATTGTATCACAAAATCTAAACCCCAAAATGCAGCATTTATTAAAGAAACTTCACTTCACTTTACTAACACAAGAGGGCCTTCTTTAACTATGAAGCCGAGTTAGTCACCCACATCTCTTCACCCCTCCCTTCCATAGAACCACCTGTCATTGCTGATCAAGAAAATCCTACATATTTTATTAGGAACAGAAAAAGCCACCAAAAGCCCATACAAGGCTATTATAAAAAGAAAACAGAAGAGCCAGCCCCAGAGGCCTAGTGGTGAAGTTTGGTGCACTCTGCTTTGGCAGCCCAGGTTCGGTTCCTGGGTGCGGACCTACACCACTTGTCCATCCTTGGCCATGCTGTGGCACATACAAAAAAAAGAGGAAGACTGGCAATGGATATTAGCTCAGGCCAATCTGCCTCAGCCAAAAAAAAAAAAAAGAAAAGAAAGAAAATGAAGATCTTTCGATTAATAGAAAATACTACCCTTTAGAAAATACGAAGCAGAGGAAAACTATATACAACACACCAATATGAATTAAATATCATTAAATAAGCAATGGCATATGTGAAAGGATGCAACAAATAAAAAGTTGAAAACTCAACAGGAAGATGTAAAATGAGAGTTGATCGACCTAGAGCAATATACCCCAAAAATAAAATCATATAAAAAATGAAAACTAAATTACAGGGTTCCTAAGAGAGAATAGATACAAATGAAAGTAAGAAACGTGGAGAAGAATAAATTAGCTATGAGAACAAAAAAAGAGAAAAGATCAAAGAGAAAATGATATGAAAAACATTATCTGGGCCTCCAAGCAAAACCAACAACAAATAAACAAAATCAACATTTCCAAAGGGGAAAAACATCAAGTGATGCCAAACTTCTTGACAGTAACACCAAGCAACACAACAATGGAGCAACATCTTCAAATAAGAAAGTGTGAGCCAAGGACTTTATATCTAGTCAAGCTGCCCTTAAAGTATCTAGGCTCTAGAAGAAATTTTAAACATGCCAGAACTTCAGGAGTATCGTACTTACAAGCCCTCCTTGAGTGCTTTACTAGAAGAGCTTCATCCAGCCAAACATTAACGGGGGAGGCTCCAGCTAAAGTACTGGTGGAGAGGACTTTTATAACAAAGGCCGGGGCTAGGGTAAAGAAATAGTGTGTAAATGTTACATGTTCTAATCAGAAATAAGGCAACTAAAAAATATGAGAAGATGGGACAAAGGAGGAGAATAAATTCATTGGTTGTCACAAAGGCAATTAGATGTGAATCAAAGAACATCATTTGAAGATGGTAAGCTAAATAGTAGAGGATTAGATAAGCTAAAAGGGGGCTCTAAGACAATTATGTAAAATATTATTAGTATAAATGTAACCACTATAACATACAAACCTTTCTAAACTAAAAAGAAATTTTACATTCCACATAATAAAAGAAACACTGTGAATATAGCAATATACATAACTTTATTTTTCAAAAAGAAAGACAGGAAAAATAAACTGGAAACTAATGAAAATACCTATAAGAGGTGGTTAGGAATGGGATGGAGGGATAGGCATGACAGCTAGACCTTGCTAAGGAGACTTTTTATATAGTTTTAACTTTGAACCATGTAAATGCTTCACATATTCAAAAACAGAAGAAAAAATTTCAAGTAAATTCTAAAATTGAATACAAACAAAAACAAATGACCTCATCATATCACACTGATCACATAACCATGTAGACAAAAGAGTGACTCCCATTAACTTTTGAACACTGTCCTCTGACTATACATCCTTAGTGGGCTATTATTCTAAGGACAAAGAGAACTACAAAGAAATCTTAAATTTTATTCAGCATGTTTACCATTAGTAATATTGGTATTGTAGTGCTGAAACATATACTATACAATAAAACATATAACCAAATATATTAATGTTACTCAGAACCAATATTTTCACTGTGAGAGAAAAGAGAGGCAAATATAAGAAAAAACTTTGTAACACTAAAATTTAATTTAACAAATATTGACTTGAATTCATAGCTTTTTAAAAAACTTATTTCCTAGCTCTGTCCACTGAAATGTCCTTCAAGCAAATGGAGTCCAAATTCCATTCTCCCTAAAAGGAATAGGGCTCCTTGGAGAAATAATTGATATTCCAGGTTTGGGATAGGACAAGTACAAGGTAAGGCCGGGACATCCTGTCCCTGAAACAAAGATGACCTGTAAGACCAATGTAGTCATGGCTAAGAGACACACAGGAGCCAGCTTGCAGTGACATTCACTGGCTACTGGCTCACAGATGAACATCAAAAAGAACTGTGACTGTAACTGACTATAATACATTGAGTAATTTGAAGACATAGTGATATTTAAAAAGAGGAGGGGGTCAGCTGTGTGGCATAGTGGTTAAGTTCAGCATGCTCCACTTTGGCAGCCCAGTTTGCAGGTTCAGATCCCAGGCACAGACCTACACCACTCATCAAGTCATGCTGTGGCAGCAACCCACATATAAAATACAGAAAGACTGGCAAGGATGTTAGCTCAGGGCTAATCTTCCTCAAGCAAAAAAAGAGGAGGGTTGGCAACAGATGTTAGCTCAGGGCTAATCTTCCTCAGCAAAAAAAAAAAAAGAAAAGAAAAAAAAGAGGGGACATTGGGAAAAAAGAAAGGAGGGAAAATAGTCTTTAAAAAAAATAGATGAATATAGACTAATAAATGTAGAAGAAAATTTTAAAATTTTAAATTGCCATTTTGCACCTCAATGTAACAAATGATTCATTTAAGAATCATCAATTGATGCTAAAGCCATTGAATGAAAGGCTGTTAGGAAAAAGAATATTCCCATGGTGCCAAAACATTACCCTAGAGATTACTAATTACTAAGGGAAAAAAATGACCCTTACAATGGAAAGATCTAGTAGTCACCATCTTAACCAAAATTCTTATCATCATTAACAGTGAGACAATCTAATTATGTCTTCTAATGTGATACAATATAAAATCTACAAGATCACCTATGAAATATTCTTTCCAAAAACATTTAACCTGAAGAAGCTAATGAAACCTATGAACTTGACTTCCAGTTGAAAGGAAATGCAAAGAATGAAGAGAAGATGTCAAAGGATATCAGATCACGGATAGGAGCCAAGTGACTTAGATTCTTCAAAAAGTCACATCATGGAAAAAAAAGCCATAGGGGTGTAGGGAAAAATCTTTCAGACTAAGAGAGAGAATCAAATACGAAATATGAACCTTGACTGAATCCTGGTTCAAAAACAAAAAACTGTAAAAAATCATTTTTGAGGCAACTGGAAATATCTGAATATGAACTTAGATGATATAATCAAATTAATTTAAATTTTCTTAAGTGTGATAATGGTTTTGAGTTTAATTAGGAAAATGTCCTTATTTTTAGGATATACATGCTGAAGTATTAAGTAAAGTGTCCTGATAAAGCTAGTATGGCAAAATGCCAATAATTGCTGAATTTGGGTGGAGAGTAAATGGGTATACCATTCTTTCAAATATTATGTTTGTGTAAAATTTTTCAAAATAAAAAGCTGGAGAACATTTAAATTTTTTTAAGTCTTTAACAATGCTTACTTTGTGAGCACATGGAGATAACCCATGAATTTTTCAAAGCTGAGCTGGCACAATATGTCATATCATGATTGAAACCATTAAAATGGCAATAAATTAGAAAAATGAAATATTCAAAACAAAACCTGGCCTATTAGGTAAATGGAGACAAATAATATTAAGAAATAGAAATTTGGAGCATTATACATATAACATCCAAAGTAAGCTTCAGGTTTTAAAATTCTAGAATTCATAGCAGTATCTTGAAACAATCATAAAATGAAACATGAACTCACCTCTGTCATGATTTTCTGTAATTCCATCATTACCCAAGAAATATTACTCTACCTTTGCTATACTATGTAGAAAATCTATTGAAGCAGCTTGCATATATTAGAAAAAGCACTTAGTATTGTAATTTTTCATTGCTGTGTTTACTATCCAAGCAGAATAAAATGGAACATAATAAAACTTTAGCTTAAAGGAGAAAACTTAAACCCTCAATTATTAGAAATCATGTTTTTGTATATGAAGTGTATTTTAAAAGAGCAAACACACACATTCACAGACTTTGTTAAAAATACACAAGTCAGGGCCGGGCCTCGTGGCAGAGTGGTTAAGTTTGCATGCTCTGCTTTGGCGGCCCGGGGTTCACTGGTTGGGATCCTGGGCACGGACCTACGCACTACTCATCAAGCCATGCTGTGGTGGCATCCCACATAGAGGAACTAGAATGACCTACAACTAGGATATACAACTATGTACTGGGGCTTTGGGGAGGGAAACAAAAAAGAAGATTGGCAATAGATGGCTCGGGGCCAATATCCTCACCAAAAAAAAAAATTCACAAGTCTGATTTAGCACATTTAACTAAGCCTCTTAAATACACTACATTTAAAATACATTTTAACAAGAGTGGATTTTCAGATGACTACCCCAAAACACTATAACAACATTCATTATTCTTTTACATCTTCAGTGAGTTCTACTTAAAAAAGGACAAAAGTGTATATCTGGGGTAAACTCTTTATTTCCAAAGGAATACCATGTTATTTGTTTTAAAGAAGTTATTTTAACAAATTAGAAATCCTAAATGAATAGGTGTAAATAAATGCATAAATGGAAAAAACTGACCAGATCCAATGGAGGACTAATACTTAACGCTAGTAAAGGATGATAGGAAATGTGGACCATCAATCAACAGTGAAGCCCTACTGTGAGCCAAAGTAACAACTGATGGCAGTTTTATTCTATTAACTTTCCTTATAATAGTGATGGTTAATGGTAATTTAAAACTAGCTGAAAATTGTATGTTAATATACAGGATACAAAAGGTTTATAAATTAATTTTAAATTTATTGTTTTTTAAAATATTCCAGCATTTAATAAAGTTGTCATTAAATATCAGAACTCAAAACTAAATGAATATTATATATGCTACTTAACACTATATCTGATTATAAATGTTTTTCTACCCTCAAGTCATATATTCAGAATCATTTGACAAAATTTCTGAAATTAAAAATGACAATGCATAAAAGTCTCTATAAACAATTGTCCTTGCTTGTGTCATCCCCATCAGTTCAGAATGTGTATAGAGATGAATGGTCACTGCGTGAGAGAGAATTTGGCCTTACCCTAAAAAATATTCTGGCCTACATCTTTAGGAGGTCCCAGCGACAGGAGTGTCTTTGTTATTCATGTGGGGCCCTCAGACCACACCTGATAACAAGATGACTCAGGATGAGCCGCTGGAGCCTGATGTCAACCAGTTCTCCAGGGAGGACAGGTTCAACCATGTGGCCAAAGAATCAATCAATCATGCCAAGTAATGAAGCTTCAATAAAAATCTGGACAACAAAGCGTGGGTGAGCTTTCCTGGTTGGCAATACTCTGTGTACTAACATACACTGTGGCCACAGTAGATAAGACTGTCCATGACTCCACAGGGAGCGGATAACTGGAAAGGACAACAGGAGTTTGGACCCCTCCTAGACTCGGCCCTATGTGTCTCTTCCTTTGACTGGTTCTAATTTGTACCCTTTGTAATAAATGTGATAGTGAATACAATAGCTTTCAGTGAGTTCTATCTAGTGAATTATTAAACCTGAAGGTGAATTTGGGAAACCCCTGAATTTGCAGTCACCATGACATTCTCTACTACAGTAGAATTTCAAATCTTTGGGATGTGGAGGCAATTTATTTCCTCGTTGCTATTTTCTTTTCTGGAGTTTGTATGTAATCAATCCTGCTTTGAAGTAATTCTCTTTTTAAGAACAGTAAGAAAAACCATTATGACTACTAATGCTGGTCACTCTGACTCTCTTGCATAGCAGTAGCATCTATGAGAGTTCAGTTATGAGGTAGGTTTGCATAGCCCTGGGATTCAAGGATTGTGATATACTTTCAACAAAAGAGTATTCCAATACAAAAGGAATTTAAAGATTTTCAGTTAGTGCTTTTCACAAGAAGATACCAAAGAAAAGTATACATTTAAAAAGTGCTGATATTCTTATTTTAGTCATCTTTTAAAACAAAGGATTTTGTACAAAGTTACTTCAGTATTAGAAGTGGGAATAAAATCCTTTATATTGCTTATCATTTGATCTCTATGCATTGAATTGATAGTCACAATAGAAACAATTATCTTCAAATTTTAATGAAAATATATACCAATTCCTGTAATTATTTAACCTTGAGGCTAGTGAAGAGATAATTTATTTAAAACAAAACATTTTTAGTCTGTCATCATCATACAGGTAGAGAAATTATAACTAGTTTAAATAAAACCCAGTCTTTCATGCTGGAGCACAGGCTACAGAAAAGGAAGATCACACGTGATAAAGGTAGCTAGAGAGATAGGGAAAAGATTAGTGAGTCATTTTTGATATATAGAGAAGAATAATTCATGATTAAGTCAGACACAGGTGGATAGAAAATACCGGAAGAACTTACATAATTAGGAAAATAATCTATTTCCATAAACCTACCAAATAGATAATAACTGGATACCAAAAGATGACAAGGAAATTTGTCAATTAAAAAGCCATTTAACAAAAGACCAATTTATACATTCCTTTGAATTGTGTCCATAAAAAATTTAAATATACAAATCGCATTCCTAAACCCAAAAGAATCTTTCTAAACAAATGAAATACAGACATACAGACAAATTCAGATTCCAAATCATAAAAAAAATTTTTTAAGTCACAGTAAATTATAACATATAATAAGAAATAAAACAACAGAATAACAGTTAAATAAAATTGTTAGTTTCAAAAGCTCAATGATGAATCAAAGGTGCCATAATTTATTTAAATAAGTACTGATCACTAATGCTTGCATAATATACCTATTTTAATATCCTGTTAGACAGTAGATTTAAAGAGCAAACGTTGAAACAATCAAAAATTGAATTATAGTTATTCTTAAAACATCTTCATTTTTACCCATGTGTCCAAAGTTGTGAATTACAGTAATATGCTCCAGAAAAGTCAGTATTTGGTAAAGCAAGGCACATAGGACCAGATTTTTGATAAAGGTGCTTTGTCTTTGGTCCTATAATTACTTTAAATAAGCTACATATCTGGGAGATTCTTAAGATGGACTCTCAATATAGCATAAATAACTTTTATAAACGTTTTCTTATGTAAACATACATCCACATGTAATTAAATATTATAACAAAGTGTAAATAAAATGAGTGATGCTAAACTCTGTTTTTAAAAACAAACCAAAACAAAACTCAGTTAAATCACTATACAATGACATTTTAAAAGTCTAATAATTTGATGTGTAGGAAAAGTGTATTAATTCTTAAGAATGGTCAATATTACACTAAGTCTACTGAGTACAAAGTCAATTAGTTTCCTTTCAGATTCTGTCTCCTTAGAATCTAGTTTAAATATCAAACTGCCTTTCCTTCTTGAAATTGTGACAGTCAACATAAATTGATGTAAACATTTAAGTTTTGCATCTCTAAACCACATTTTCCACCATAAAAGTAACCTACAACTTCTCTAAAACCACTTATCAAAGAATTGATAACATTTTTTTGTGAAACATCCTAATCCTGCATTTCAAACTTTTCTTCCCAAATACCATATTCTTAACTTTTAATAGAACTATCAACTGGCACTCTTCTCCCATGAATTAGCATTTTTATAATGAACAAAGCAGTTAAGAGATAACAAGTAAACTTTAAAAAGTGTAAGGATTTAAATAATAAAGGAGTCATCATTATAAAAGATTGATACAATAAGGCTTTTGGAGGTCATCAAAACACACACCACACACAAGAAAATGGCATTATCTTTATATATGACATGATCTAGGATACAAGTCCACCTTCTCAAATATGATTATTTCTTTATGAATTACAAATGATAAACTATACAACCCAATCTCTAATAACATTTTCAAACCTACTAGAAAAGCAAAATATAAATTATGCCTGTCAAATAAAAGTTTGCTTTGAAAATATACTTTAGATTATTTTGTCCTTTATCACAACTCTTGATTATATTTTTATAAACTTTGTTGGGAATCTTGGAAATTGTGTTATTTTGGACACCTGAAAATGTATTATTGTTGTAATTAACATGTCTGATGTTCAGTAATTAGCTTGTATCATTTTTTGAAGTTTTAAAATAGGGACACACTAAACCTGAATTAACAATTAATTGTAAATGCACAGTGAATTAATACACCAGTACCCAACCAGTACTTCAATGTGGGCTGAACATGAATCTTTATATTCAGTCTTAAATTCTGTGCATTTTGCAGGATTTACATTTCACATAGCAGTAGGTAATAAGATATAAGTCTAAATGTTGTTACAGTCTAAAACATCATGCTCAAAAATGTGGTAAAATTATTAAACTTTACTCTAAAAGGTGGTCATTGAATATCATGTCAGGTTTCCAGAAAGTTTGCTTGGTGTCAATTTGGAATCACCAGCAAATTGATTTAAAATATTTTGTAAGTTTAAACACTTTTAAACACTGGATGGAATAGGTTAGGACTGTGTCTTGTAGAGTCTAGGTTTGCACAGCCAGTCCTAATTAGCCAAGAGTACCCAACAGTTTGAAACACAGTATTTTTTGAGCCAAATTCTGTTTAACAAAATTCATTAGAACTATATAAAAATATTTATTTTGTACAGTTTTCATACTAGTAGAACAGGAGACTTTTAAAAATATATAAAGTAGGAATGAAATAAAGTAAAATACTTCTTATACACAATAGGTAATTCTGTCTCTAGTCAATAATTAAATCCATATTCCAATTTTAGAAATTATTTTTGCCCAATAATTCATTTTATCTTTTCTCTCCCTTGAACCAATTTATTAAATAATTTATGTAATTTGCAACCTTAAAACTCCAGTGCTAATCAAAGCAGAAAAGAACCACTATTTTAAAGCAAAGTAGTGAGTGGCTCCTTCCCAGCAGCTCTTGCAGGGCCACACAGAGGGGACTCGGAAGTCTGCGTCTCTCCCAGACATGTGATCAGAGAATTCCTGGGGATGGGGGGTTTATGAGAGGCCTAAAGTTCTTCTGAGCAGTCTTGAATTTACCATTATAGTGCCATTCAAAATAATGTAATATCATGATAATCTGGAATGTCTCCAGGAAAAGTCATTTTGGTCTCAATTCATTGACATCTGTACTACTATTTTTCTGATTGTTGTTTTTGTCAACAGTTGTAGATTAAAGGAAGCTTTTACAAATCAATGAGTGAAACATTCATTGAAAAATGTTCTAGTTGTATACTGTATATGCTTTAATAGTTCAAAATTCTCCAAAGGGAGATATTAGACAATAATTATTATTTTGTTTTAAATTATTAAATGAGTATTTAATCCCTTTAAATTACATTTTAAAACTTTAATGGAAATTAACATACAGAAATTTAATTTAAAGTAACATAAGGATTCATCTGATTTACACAGAAAAGAAATGCAATTAAGAAATTAAGGACAAAACTGCATTCTTGTAAAAGTCACTGGCTACTGTCTAGCACAGGAGCAACTGGATTGCTGTCAGCAGTTTCGAAGCACTAAAAGATCTTAAAATGTAGATGGAGAAATAGATTGTGTATTTCTCTACACTATATTTAAATTTGAATTTTATTCTCTGAGAAATCAAACCCAGAACATTACTTTATCAATTTTTATGTCGCTGAACAAATAACATTTAGCAATCCTTTGTATAAATATAAAAATCTCAGATACATGAAAATGTTTTTCAAATCATACTTCTATTTCTTCACAGCTTTATAGGTAATTATAATTTTCAAACTTTGAATATTCCATGTGATTTGATATATCTGTACAAGAAGAGTAAGATAAAAACATTTTATAAGATTAAATAGATCTAATTTGCAAAAATTGATATCTGACATTTGTGTGCTCTTGCAAAGAGTGCATAGGATAATTCTGCAGCAATCAAAAAGGTAAAATCTTTTAAAACTCAGATTTCAAGTTTCCTCCAATACGTATTCTAATCCCTGGAAATACTTTCAAGTTTTGATTTCTAGATGCAATAGGTATTTTCTTACATATACATATATTTTATCCTTAAAACTTTTATATTTCAAACTGTTTGAGCAATATGATCAGATTCAGCATAACGTTATCTTCTTAGAATCTGTAGAAGTCCTCTGTGCAAGATTAATGTTGAGATTTCTAGTGCACCATTATGAAAAACCAGTTAAAGATAGTATACGACTATGCTTTAGTGGGATTTCCTGCAGGTTTGGGATCATAACCATATAGGAAAGTAGCCGCTATTACAAGGATGGCTCCAAGGAAAAAGACACTGAATGGATGAAGAAAAAATGAAAAAGAGAAAATTAGATAAAAGAAAAACAAGTTATTTCTATTTCTTTACCATAAGAACAATTATGACTTGGGAAAAAATATTCCAATAATATGGCTAACAAATATGAGTACTTACTACATTCCAGGTATTCAGCTAAGTGTTTTACATTCATTATCTCATTTAGTTCTCACCACAACCCTATGAAGAAGTATGAGTATTGTCCTCATTTTGTTATATATGAGGAAATTGAGGTTTAGAGAATTTAAGTAACTTTCTTAAAGTCCCACAACTTTAAGTGGAAGATGGGATTCAAATCCAGGTATGTTTTACTCTGGAGTCAAGACTCCACTTTCATCCACTGCACTATATTGTCTCCCAAAGCAGAGATGTTTTAAATGTTGTATTTCATGTTAATATGTCTTTTGCCTGTAATACACTGAATAATAAAAGATCTCAATTTTTTTAAATATTTAAAAATATAAAAGGAAAGCTGCATTATTTTCAAACCAGCGTAAAGTTCTGTTTAAAATCCAAGGTAGTAACAAGCAAAACCAATTTTTATAGGATGGTTTACAAAAGGAAATTAGACAAAATGCTGGGAGACTTTGGTTTCTTTCTTTTATCTATCCACAGATATAATACTCCTTTCTGTAAACTGGAAATGAACTTAAACTGGAACTTAAACTGGATGTAAACTGGAATACCAATCTTAACTTTTAACGCATATTCTTCAAAGTGCTGTTCCACGAACATGAATTAGTCTCGGTTTTAAAGTTTCTATTAACAGTTCAGTGACTTCCTTGCTTTAAAATAACACATCTGTTCTATAAAGGAAAAAGATCACTAATCCTTATTATGACATAAAGGGCCCTTCCTAATGTGGTCCCTCCAGTCTCACCTCTCACACTCCACCCCACCCAATCTGCAATTCAGTCACTCTAGTCAGTGAACATAACACGCCTTTCAGGACAGCGTAGATGCTATTCCTCTGCCTGTAATGCCCTTTCTCCCAAGAAAACTGCTTATTCATAACAACTCAGGTGTAATGTTTCCAAGATTCACTCCCCTAGGCAGAGTTACTCTACGATAATAGTTATCACACTGTATTAAAAAATGCATTATTTACATGTCTGTTTCCCTGCTCAACCATGTGCTCCTCATTAATCAGTATACCCACAGAGCCTAGCATATATAGAGGGCTCAAGCATTATCTGTTATGATAAATATCTAGTGTTGACTTGATGCAAACGGGCAACTTTTCAAAAGCCTTGGGTGCAAGTATACCTATAAGATTAAGACAACACAAACTTCCTATAATGTATCTTGAAGAAAATTACTACCAAAGGAATATTTGGTAATTATTTAGGCTTTGGATAAACTTTGTCAGTCATTATGACCTTTTCTTAGCTTTCCAGAACTCTGGAATTTCACAGAATCACATGCTTATCTGAAAAGTTGTCTGATCCAACTTTCTACCCTCTGTAGGAATCCATTCTCTGATATCTCTAACAGGATCTACTTGAATACCCAATAATGTCAGGAAATTCCTGCTTCTCAAGCCAGCTATTTTCAGATGGTTTTGGGAGAAGAAATTTTGTTAGCAAAAAAAACTATCAGAATTTAATGATTATTTTGAGTATTTGAGCCCCCTCTTTCGAATGGAAATACTTGTATATATACTCCCATTGCTGCACTGATTGTACTGTTATAATTTATTTACTCATATGTCTCTCTAAACATTGTGACTTCTTTGAAGGCAGGAAACCATATCTTATTCATGCATTCGTGTTTTTCCAGGATCTAGTACAGTGACAGGTAGACACATAGTGGACACAATAACTTTTTGATAAAAGAATAAGCAAGCCTAAATGCAAGGATGGTAATACCAATAAGCAAAATAATGAGCACAGGAAAAATAGCAAAGAGAATATTGGTGATATGATAGCAGTAGAGATGTCTGGCAGTTAGTTGAAAATAGGGATCTAGAGTTAAGGTGAAACTGGGACTTATCTTCATAGAGAAGACAGATAAGACATGGCAATGGATGAGATGAACAAGTGAGTAAGCAGGGATTGACAGGTTACCAAAGGAACAATCAATCAGAAAGGCAGGTACAGGGGTACTACTTCTGAGAAACTGAAAAACAGTTTCAAGAGGTGAAATGGGGATAACAAAAGAAAATATATTATTGCATTTAGAATACAGGTCACTGGATTTATTGCTTGAAAGATGTTCTTCACAAAAGACTACGTAAAGATAGAGGGCTTAGTTATCTATTTTAGGAAAAATGATCCATCTCCTGCATCTGTCTTGATGTTCTATACATATTCTCAAAATGCTCATTCATTCATTCATTCCATAACAACAGTAGCATTGTCTTTTCTCTTTTTATCTTCATCCCAACACACCTTACATGCTCCTTCAGATGCATGGATTTATATGCAGGTGTATATCTTATTGACAAACTACTACTCTTTTGTCCCTCTACTGGTTTACTTTTTCATTTACTTGTTTATTTTCTGCATGATTCAAAGATTTAAAGTTAACACCTTTGGCCTTATATGAAGTTTTACTTTTTTTGAAAAAGGAATGCCGTTTTAAGTGTACCCTAAAAATCTGCAAGTTCCAAACATTCTCAAGTACTATTAAAGCACATAATTTCCCCATTTAATGAACAGGGAATAAAGCATTCTTAAGACATAGGTGCTAATTGTCTCACTAGGTAATTCATTCCCATACCAAGCTAAAAACAAATAGTTTCACATTAATGCCTCAGAAAAATTAAAGATCTCAACATTCATGTCCCAGACTTACTGTCCACGTTACTAGAGAAGAATCAAACCATCAATGGCCAATATAGAAATGTAAAGAGCATATTATATTTTTACCCCGCCAAATTTCATCCATAATCTTATCTCACTAACTCTCAATAATGCAAATGAATTTTACTAGCTGTATTAAAATTTTAAGGTCTTGAACATTCATTCAAGAAACATACTGAGTACCTGTTACGTGCCAAGCTGAGGCCGTTTATTTATCAGATGGTGATAAGTTTTCTGAAGAAAGGAGGAAAGAATGTTGGAATATTGAGGGGTGTTCTTTTACTTAGAGAGGTCTCTTGACAAAGTGACACTTGAGCGAAGACCTGAGGATGTGAGGGAGTATGCCATATGAATATATGTAAGGGATGAGTACTCCAAGATGACTAAAGGACAAGTCAAAGCCCATAGCAAAGAGGTTACTGTAGCTAAAAAAAAAAAAAGTGAACAAGAGGAAAGTAATATCAGATGAGAACAGAAAGGTAGTTGAGGGCCAAATCAAATGGGCCATTGATGATGACAACTTTTCAGTGACATGGGAAGCAATTAGAGGGTTTTTGAGCGGAGTAGTGATATGATGTGATTTACACTGAAGAGAATCATTCTGGTTGCGGAGTGGAGAAAACGGTGGGGGGGGGGGGGGGCGGGCAGAGGAGAAGAGAAGAAGCAAGGAGACAAGTCAGGAGACTATTTCCTTAATCTTGATGATACGTGAGCGTGCTTTTGTTACCACAGGCCCTCCAGGACCAGTTCCACTGACTCCATCTCTCATCAACAGAGTGATTAAGAATTGCCTTGCAGAAAATCTGCAAAGTCACGAAGCCAAGGCGTGTGCAAAAAAAGAAATCATGACCTGAAACAAACTCGGAATCAAAGATGATCCCTCCCACAGAATCCAAAGACTGGGACACAACCAGAGCTTGAAGGTAGGACTCTTATCAGAAGTGAGGGGTCCCTCTTTCAGGAAGATCCAGTATTAAAATTCCTTCCCCATCTCATCAAAAATGTTTAGAACCCCATCATAAATGTTTAGAACCCTGTCATAAATGTTTAAGACCTTACCATAAATGCTTGAAGCCCACCAATCAAAACCTGTCCCACCAGCACCTCTGTGTGACAGCCAGTTCTCCATAACATCTTAAATTTTGCCCCAAATCCTGAACCAGGGAGACAGATCTGAGGGCACACGCCCCCTGTCTCCCTGCAGATTGATCTCACAGAATAAAAGCTGACTTCTCCCCGAAGGCTGGCGCCATAATTAACTGGCTTGTTTATGCACATCAGGCAGAGAGCCCCAATTTTGTGCAGTAACACTTTGGACCAGGGTAGTAGCAGTAGAGGTTGTGACAAATGGTCAGAATCTGGAGTTATTAAAAAGGAAGAGTTGCCAGGCTTTGTTTTCGGATTAGAATGACATGTGAGAGGAAAGAGAAGCTGATGACCTTATTTCTTCACTCAGAAAATTAAAAATTTCCATACATTTTAACTTATTTTTGTAAATCTATTTATATCCATATCTATAGACTCTGCCCCCTCTTAGGTTACTGTGGATAAACTGTGTTCCTATCTAAGTCAAGAAGGATTTTGGCTTAAGCAACTGGAAGAATGGAGGTGCTGCCATTTGCTAAATTGGGAAACCCTGACAGAGAGAAGGAATGAGTTATTTATTCAAGTGAAAATGTCAAATACACAATTAGATATATAAGCCTGAAATTCAAATTTAAATTTGAGAATTATTAGCATATAGATGGTGTTGAAAGCCATGAGAATAGAGATCACCCAGGGAGTGACTGCAGATAAAAAAGGTCCAAGAATATATCCTTGGGAGACTCCAAAGTTTAGAGGATGAGAAGATGAGAAGGAGGGTGAAGATGGAGGAAAACCAATAATGGTGTCCTGGAATCCATTAAAATACAATCTCATTACTCTGGGATTATAAACTAATAATTGTTAAAAAAAATAATAATAGGACCTTTAATACCATCTCTAATGGGTATTTATTACACTTCATTCATCTTGACTCTGTCCTGCCTCACCCATCATTCCTTTTGCAATTCTTTTCCAAACTACTCTTTTTTCTGCCACCACCTAATAGAATTTTCTCATGAGCCAAGTCCTCTATATAAACTATTCTCTTCACGAATGTCATCCATTCTCCTGGCTTTAGCTATATAAAGTCTGCATTTAAAAAGTCATTATATAACTTATTTTATGACTTTATATGACATTAACTTTTTTAAATACCATTTTTAACTTTGGGGGTAAAAAAACCATTCAGATCTGCAGGGAAAATTCTGGCCAGCCAAATTAGCATAAAAAACTTTCCAGTGGAAGATTTTCTTTCATGCATTTAATTTGAAACATCCTTTAAAAGATAGTTAAATGGATCTTTTACAATATTTCCATGATTCTTCAACAGTTGTAATAGTACAAAATTTTTCAGATCAGATCTTATGAAGAATTCATCTTTTTCTTACGTACTTTTGGAAATTTAAAGAAATAGAAAAGAATTTATTACCTGGTTGGCACAAAATCTTGTAGCCAAAAATAGGATATCAGTGTTGATAATATTATGGATAAAGAGGTTGCAAATCCCTTTAAAATATTATCTGCATACTTAATAACAGCAGCTATTACAAGGCCTCCAAGTGCCTGCAAAAGTTTTAAAAGATTATTTTAAAAAACAAACATATAAAACTGCTTTTCAAAACAATCTCATTACTTAATGAAGTTTTAGGCTTTTGTCCTAGACATTTAATCTCATTATAGTGATTTTTATTAAACATCTCATAATCAATAGACTTCGGGGTTTTGTTCAATAGCCCTCTTATTTCAAAAGGTATCTGATGATGTAACTACCAGCATAATCTGCAGTTGTTATGATGGAGCTTGCCCATCTTACGAATAAAACATCCATCCTCATCCAACTTAGTAATTAAACATCCCTTGTTAGGACAAATGTGGGAAGACTGGTCACTCTGATTAGTGAAGTATTTTTACTTTAGAGTAAAAATAAAGTACAACTTGAAAGTTATTTTACTAGTCTTTCCAGAGCCTCCTAATTGGCTTTCTTCCTTTAGTCTCTCCCCATTCAAATCCACCTATCATTGCTGTCAGATTACTCTTCCTAAAGCACAATTTTTTTTTCTAAAGCATAATTTTAATCATTCTCTTTCTTTAAGAGTGTAGAAAGAACTTTCTATCAAATCCCTCTCAAATTCCAAATAGTGGTTACCTAAATAATGAGGTTTTACCATAACTCACAAATTTTCTACAAACCCTACTTATCAGCTCCCAAATCTGGGTTACTTACCTTAACAACTTTCACTGCACCTCTTCAAATGACAGAAGCTTTATTAGGGAAAGTCATGAATTAAGTCAATTGAGCTCACTACAATTGATGTTTGAGTCCAGTATTTCTTGGCAATGTTCTCACTCATCTATTTATGCCCTGTTGAGTCCCTCACACCAACTATACCAAACCTTTTCTATTCTACTCAAGTCTTCAGCCCCATCTTAAGGGAAGAGGGCTTCCCTCTGACAGGATAAAGGCCATCATACATAGACTTTCCTGACTTACCCTAACTCTACTTCAAATTTTCTCTGAAATGTCACTTATCCTTGTCTCCTTTTCTCCTGTCTTAAAAATGAGGGGTATCCTTCCTGCTTTCAAAACACAACTATCCTTTGCCACCTTCACTCATCTTCCCTAAGGGACCTTATCCCTTATAGACTCAAATACTTCTAGAGAAAGGCTTTGTGGAGGCAGTGACTTGCGTCTTCATTTTTATATCCTCCAGAGTACTGAATAAGCATTTTTTGAAGATGAAATTACTCAACTCTTGAACGATTTCAAGTTATAAACTGAGATAATTTGACAGGAATATTCCAATATGTAATTAAAATATGAGGCTATAAACTGTTACAGATTTAAATATCTAGATCTGCCTCTACAAAAAAAAAAAAAAAGTCTCACTGTTAGGCTGACCACAGACTTCCTGTACAATGATAAGAATTGTAGAGAAGTCAAAAGTTATTTGCCCTCAGCTTCAACTCTTTTATTCTTAAACTTGCATTTTCATTATGTTAAATTTAAATACCACAAAGTTCATTCATGGCTTCTTTTCAAAGTAAGTTTTCATTATGGCATTAAGATCAGTTCTATTTTAATTTCCCTGAATAAACTAAATATAATGAGAGCACTAACAGGAGGGATCTTTTTTCCTCGCATCAGTACATCAGTAGCTACTTTGATTCTATTAAAACGAAGTTTATTAGCATTAAATATAAGATTTTAAATGCTTTACCTGAAGAACAACAACTATCCAGGTCAGTCGGTTATATCCCTGAAAAAATCCATCCTTTGATACCAGTTCTCCATCATAAATGTATACACCCATTAATCCAAATATACTCCCAAAGAAACCTAAAAAAAATGTCTACGTCACATGTGATTTAGTTTGGAGGGATACTTTTCCATTGACATTCCAAATAATTTTATACTTAACTTTTCCTTTTTGATAAAATTTGACAACTTTAAAATATTTTTACTTGGATATTTATATAAACAAATGTTTACTTAGTACTATATTATGACTGTAAGACAAAGATATGAGAATATAAAGAAGAACAGAGACTATCAACTTTGGAGCACTAAACAATACAATGCATATGTTACATGACTATATGGCTGTCCCATTCAAATATCTGTAAAAAGCACACTTTTGGCCTATTTCATTGTATCTTGTATCTTCCTATTGCTAGACCTAGATTTTCATATAGTCACATTCATACATGCAGACAGCAGACATACAAGTCAGGTATGTGGGACAGCATTTTTCCTTATTAATAAGTTTTCAAAGTACAGTAAGTAATATCCAAAAACTCTGAACTAAGAAATAGTCATAGGCGACATCAGAATCTGTCATTACTGAAGTCTCACTGTTAGGAAAAGTTGACTCAGTGAGAGTAGAAACTATGTCTCATTCATTGCCGAATCGTTTACCTCTACCACAGAGCTTATCACATGACTACCGTGTCTGAGAGTTCCAGGAGCAATCCTAAACTATGAATAAAGAAATTGATGCCTAGGGCCAACTCTGGTGGCCTAGTGGTTAAGTTCGCTTCAGGGGGCCCGGGTTCAGTTCCTGGATGAAGGCCTATAGCACTCATCAGTGGCCATGCTGTGGCGGTGGCTCATACACAAAGAGGGAGGTTGGCAATAGATGTTAGCTCAGGGTAAATCTTCCTCAGCAAAAAAAAGAAAGAAAGAAAGAAAGAAATAGATGCCTACAGGGGCCACCTCCTCAGGGTAGTCTCTGGTAAGATATAGCGAAAGAGTGCAGGGTGAAGCATTTTTTTATAAAACCATAACTAATCAAAAGTATTCCATGATGGAAAGGAACTAAAAGGGATGTGAAATGTTCCTTCTAAAATTTTATTTATGCCAACTCTATCATTTTAATATGCCTAGGTTTGAACATGAAAATAATACTGGCATAATACAAAATTACAAAAATAAACATTTCCAGAGGTATTAGGTTTTTTTAATTATAAAAATAACACGATAATTACAAAAAAAATGTATATAGTCCAGAAGGGTACATACATGTCAGTATATACAGATCTACTGTATTCTTTCTATCACTTGCATAATTTTCCATTCTATACACAGTAATATAATAATAATAATATGAAATAGGTATATAACACCTTGTGCAACAAATTGTTCTGCTTTATGTATGTTAATTCACAACAACTCTAGGAGGTAGATACTTTTATGCTTGTTTTATAGGTGAAGAAACTAAAGCATAGAGAGGATAAATAAACTTGCCTAAACTTACACTGCTTGTTAGTGATGAACTCAGGATTTTAATCCAGGCAGAGTGGTTCTGGAGCCCACGATCTTAACCACTACCCTATTTAATCATATTGATAATTTATTCAGCCAGTCTTCTAAATGTTTTCAATTTTTTACAACTGTAACCAATGATGAAATGAATAACCTTGGACATTTATCTTTGTGCTCTTATACAAGTATATCTGTAGGATAAATTATTATCCAGATGTGGAATTTTTGCATCAACATCTTTATTTATTTAAAATTTTCTTAAACATTCCCGAACTGAGATCCAATAAGGTTATATCAATCTATACTCCTAGCAACCATAGGTAATAAGAGTTCCTGTTTCTCCACTCTCTGGCTAACACTGGGTCTTATTAATTTGCTAATCTTTGACAGTTTGATGTTAGAAAAATGCTATTACATTGTTTTAATTTCTGTTTTTGTAACTTTTAGCTATCTATTACTTACGGATCCTTCTCAAAACTTGAGTCAGCTTACCATTAAATTGTGCTATGAGGTCAAACCAAAGAATAAGAACTACATGAAGTACCATAGAATCATGAATTCTGATCTTTCATTTTTATCTATAATTCAAGAAAATTTTGGGCAACTCACACAAACCTTGAATATTTCTTTCTTTTCTTATATTTGCATATTTATATAAATAGCTAATATTAGTGCTTACTATATGCAAGGCACTTTATTCTAAACACTTTAGACATATCCTGTTTAATTCTCATGGCAACATATGAAGTAAATACCATAAGTAAGTACACTTTATGATGAGGAATGTGAAGCAGAGGAAGTTTAAGCAATGTGCCTAAGGTCAACAGGTGGTAAGTGATGAAATCAGGATTTGAGTGGTCTAACTACAAAACCAAGTGTTCTTAACCACTATGCTATAGATACACTCTTTCTGAAATGGTGAATTATATTGGTTAATGCTTTTCCAGCCTGTGAACTGCCTTCTAGATAAACTGAACAAAAAGAAGCTAATTTAATTTTATCTATAAAAATATTTAGCTTGAGAGTTCTTAAAAAAAAAAAAAACCTTAACACATTTTTATCAATTTTGCAGAGAAATTTAAGGACATCCTAGGTGATAAAACGAAGGTTCAGTTTGTTTGTTATCACATTACTTTGAAACAGCTGGAAGGATGGACATTAATCAAATTTGGAAGGTTTGTTTGGTATGGTCTGACTTAAAATACAGGTCATTAGTAGTAAAGAGACTTCACTGTGTAGGGCCTGGGATGGGCCTGTTATGACTGCTATCAAGAGGGACATGGTATACCTATTAAGTTGATGTGGACACAAAAGAACAGTGGTTTCAAGGATGAGCTCCAAAGTCACAAGGACAGAGGCTTAAAATACAATGTGTTGATTTGCAATTGAGCTGCTTCTCACATGTAGCATCTTCCAAAATGAGTATATGAGAGGAACAGTAAATGCTACAATCTTTGTATGAGGAATTCAGTGTTAGAATACTATACATAAATAGTTTAAATATTCGTTCAAAGGCAATCTCTCAATATGTGGGATTTTTTTCCTGTTAAACTATTTACTTTCAGTTATAAAAATGCTATAGTATTTAAAAGCTAAAACATAACATTTTGAAATAAAAAGGCATATTAAAATTTTAAAACTGAGATGAAAGATTCATCATTTCAAACTTCGTCCATTTAAGGTTTTTTTCTCAGCTTTATTGAGGTATAATTGACAAAATTGTAAGATATTTAAAATGTACATTGTGGTGATTTGATATGCAACATGGTGACTACAGTTGATAACACTGTATTATATAATTGGAATTTGCTAAGTATCTTAATCTTCTTTTCCAAGAGGAAAATATGTAAGTTACTTGCAACATCTTCTAGGGAAAAAACGTAGCAACCAAGGATAAAGTTACTAAGGCTCCAAATGGTGTGTACAGAAACAGGTTATATACACCCTTATGTCACAGACCTAAAATTCCACAATCTTGAATGAAAGGCATTCATTTAAAATACAATTTTTTAAAAGGAAAAAACCTTGCCAGATATTTGGATCAAGAGCAGATTTTATGAAAGACACACTTATTTAAAGATATATAGAAATCTTAATATATAATAATATAATCTTTAAAAATAATACTAGAAAACATTTAAAACTTACCAAGTTGAATGTTTCTTATCCACACTGATTGTTTGGTTTCTTTTAAGATTTTCTCAAAGTAAACCCCAGCAAAGCCACTTGAAAAACATGCTGTGAGAACTGCCATGAGGCCTACAAATTGAGAGCCAGCTGAAAGTTCCTTAGAATCAAGCTCTTGAGAGTCTGAGGGCCACTGAACAAAAAGAAAAACAAAATTGAAGTTTAAGTCCTATAATTTTACAAAGTGCATATTTAAAGCTCACTCTTAGACCTTAAGATAAAAATGTAACCAATACCATTCTTGGGGATTGCAGAGGAGAGCTTTTGAAAGAAAACCTTACAATCATTTTACTTTTTTTCCCAACAGTGCTATTACTGTTACAATTTATAATTTCAAAAAATACCCTAAAAAAGAGAAAGAAAATGAATAAATGCACAGATGCACAAAATAGCCTCTAGAGGCAGATCAGCTGTAAAAATTCAGAGTGTGAAGCGCCAGAGCAGCAAAAATGAGTCTGGAGCTGTTCGTTTATTACAGAAGAACCATATGGTATCAAGCTAAGCATTCTGGATTTTGTCCTATACGTTAGTGTTCCTGAAACTTCAATTATTTGCCTTTATGGTTTTTGTCAAATCCATGTTCTACTTGAATTATTAATTACTTGATACTTTAATTTAAAATACTTCACTTTTAAAGTTTTAATATCTACTTTAGCTTATCTTCAAGCAATATCTATGAAAATATGGGTTTGTAACACCCATTTAAAATAAATAACCATTAAAAATATCTATTCAAGATATACATACCACACTCTGGGGAAAGTGTGGTGGCCTCTGAATGGCAGGAAATTGACATGATTGGATTTGTCTTTAGATAGACCAAGGTGATGAGTAAGTAGGGGCTGAATGGGGGGAAGGGTAAGGCTAAAAAGTGGGGAAAAAAAAGTCAGGAGGCAAAAGATCATGTAAGAAACAAAGAGGTCATGAACTGGGGAAATGAGAGTAGAGACAGATGACAAGGACAAAATCAAGAAGAATTAGAAAGGAGAATCAGTAAGGTCTTAGAGATTGACCGGATGTACAGGCAGAAGGAAGAGTCTAGGACAACTCCCAGGCTGAGTAAATAACGACTAGAAAGAACAGAAATAAGAACAGGTTTGGTGGGAAAAGGTAAAGTTTAGTTTTGGATATGCTGAGTTTATAAAGTTTATTGAACAACCAAGCAAAGACGTCCAACAGGCTTTTAGAAATACAAATCTGAAACTACAGGTGATAACCAGAGCTAATGACATAGATCAAGAAGCTATCAGCATATGTGTCAATAAAAACCTCCAGAATGGATGAAATCTCCAAAAATAAGGACATAATTTAAGAGAAATAACAAGCCTACCAGCAACCCCAATATCTAAAGGGAGTATCAAGGAAGAAGACCCCAGGAGGGAAACCAAATAAGGAATCACTAGAAAGATGTGAGAAGAACCAGGAAAGAACGATATCAGGAAAGCTGATAGGCAATAAGGGATTCATTACTCTCAAATGCCCCAGGTCTCCAGTAAAAATCAGCTTTGTTTTACACGCTCTTACTTCCCTAACTAGATTATTCATTTATTTATGTCAGACAATTTGATTTTTATTTATTTCTTTGTATCACTTACAGTCCCAATGTAGTATCTTACTCAAAGGAAACCATCAAAAAACTTATCAGTTGGGAGAATAAGCATTTATTTGCTTCAACAAATGATAGAACCATATTCTTCATGCACAATAAATAAGGTTTTGAAAGTGTGATAAAATGAAAGGTATACTTATCTTGAATAGTTACCTGTACAAAAGCAACTCCTGTCATCAAAATTACTAAGGAGAGCCACTGGTACACACCTAATTTTTTACTAAGCATAGACACAGAAAATAATGCCGTCGTAAGAATTTTCAACTGATATGTGACCTGAAAAAGAAAACAGCTAATATTATTAGTGTTTGCTTGTTTGTTTGTTTCTTAGAAGGACTACTAGAAATGTATTGTAAGTACCTGATAAGTAGCCGCATCTAGATTTGACAGTGCCACATAGAGTAAATTATTCTGAAGAGTATATATCCCTGATGGAATAGCAAGTTTAAGCGTTTCCATGGGTTTATTAAGAATTTCATCATGTAGTATTCGATTCAGTGCTCTTAGACTACATTCTAGAAGAAATACGAAATGGGCAAAATCAGTAATTAAATAACTCTAAATAAGTTACATACCTTATTTCAAGGGCTCAGTTTTCTCACCTGTAAAAGAAGGAATTTCAGCTACATGTTAAGATATTTTTGGTCTAAAATATACCTTTACAATGATGCTAATATTTCAAATGTTAAATATTAAAAGGTAACATATTAAGAAGAGCATTATCCTTATATTCTTTCATCGGGAAACACAATCAAATTATGTGTATATATTTACATATATGTATTTATGATGAAAAAATCTCAAAGTATTAATTTGTCAACCAAGCATTCTTACTTTATCATAGCAATATTATAAAACCTTGTATTTTGTGCATTCCATTTTCTCATCAGTCATTTGATGCCAATTAATAATTGTGAAAACTTTTAATCATAAAAAGAAGGTAAATCAGTTAGGGAGTAGGTTTGGCTGCAAACAGAAAACCCAACCAACACTGGCTCATACCCCATAGGGATTTGTCTCACATATCATGAGTCCAGGTCCAAAGCTACTGCAGCAGCTCAGTGATGACATTAAGTACCTAAGCTCTCTCTCTATATATATAATCGCTTTTTCCTTCATGCTTTTCACCTATTGTCTACATGATTAGTGCAACAAGGTCACCAAATGACTGCTGTACCTCTGGTTCTTCTTTTAGGCAGCAAGAAAGAAGAGGAGAAAACAGTGGTCTAGCAGGCATCTTCTTCACTCTCATTGACCAGGATTGTGTGGCATAGCTACCCCCTGCTGCAAGGGAGCTATGCAAGCTCCACATTAGAGACAAGAAAGGGAAACAGGAGTTGGAAATGGACTTTGAGCTAGCCAACCTACAATATCAATCACGAAAAATGTCTAAAGAACTTTAAGAGATACATAAACCACTAGAAAAAGGATAAATTCTAAGGAACTCTACCACTTTAGCAACAATGACACTTTACAGATGAATTTTTCTACCAAAATAAACCTTGAAAACTTTGATTATGACAACTTTTTTAAAATGAAAAAAACTTTAAAGATTGCTACTTTATATTCATTCTTTCCTCAACGTAAAATAATGTCAAAAAATTATGTAAGTAAAATAAAAATTACCAAAAGAGCTTTTCTTAGTTTTAGCAGGAAAAAAATCTAAAATATTACTTATTTTTTAAATTAAATTTTTAAATAATTAATGCCATCACATATTGTTCTCATCAGCAGTTTAGGGAAAGTCTTGTTCCACGTTCCTGTCAGTTCCTGGTATTGTTAGACACTCTATTTTTGCCAATGTGAGCATAGCGAAATTGAGTCTCGTGGTTTTAATTTGATTTCTCTGATTACTAATGAAGCCAAGCATCTCTTTACATATTTATTGGCTATTCAGGTTTCCTCTTCTGTAAACTGCCTGTTTATATCTTTTGTCCTCTTTTCTATTGCATTGCTTCTCTGTTTCTTATTGCGTTGTATGAGTTTTTTTGTACATTCTGGATATTAATTATTGGTGCTTCCATGTGATATAACTATATTCTCTCAGTCTGTGGCTTGTCTTCTCATTTGGTTTAATATACAGACGTTTTTCATTTTAATGTACCCCAAACTATTTTTTCCTTCACAGTTTATTTGTGGTTTTTTCTGCATCTTGTCTGAAATCATTCATGGTACCAAAGATAAGGTTTTGCCTTTTAAATATCAGTCTTTAATCCACCTGGAATTTATTTTTGTGCATGATATGTCTACTTGTGCTTTGGTTCACTGAAAGTTGATTTTATCACCTCTCTCCATAATGCCAACCACTCAATGTCAAAGATACCTTTGGCTCCACAATGCTAAATGAGTGGATACTTCCATTCATCTAGAATGGAAGCAGCAAAAACACTACTTTCTCAGCTTGCCTACATTTTTCCTACATTTTTATAGGTTTTTTTCTATCTTGCTGGTAACTCCTTTGGTCTTCTTTTCTTATTCCTCCTTCTTAGTATGACCTCTAAATGTTGGGAATGCTACAGTTTAGTCTTTGGTCTTCTCTTTTCAGTATATACTAGGTTATCTCATCCAATCCTTGATTTTAAAGTAATACATAAGCTGACAAATCCTTGAGCTCCATATTCACCTATTCTACTATTTGACACGTCAATCTGAATGCCTTACAGGCATCTCAAATGTAACGTGGACCAAAGAGAAGCTTTAATTTTCCCCCAAATCTATCTTCCATACATCATTCATTGTACACCTATTCACCCAGTAATTTAATCTAAAAACCTAGGAATTATTCCACAAACTGAATTCCTCCATACATCATTCATTGTACACCTATTCACCCAGTAATTTAATCTAAAAACCTAGGAATTATTCCACAAACTGAATTCCTCCTGTGCCTGGACCTTCACACACCTAATCTACTAGCAAGTTGCATCAGCTGTAGCTTAAAAAAACATCTCAGAAACATCCTCTCTTCTCTAACAACCTAGTTTAAGCCACTATCATCTTCTTGCTGGACTAGTGCACTAGCTTCCCTACACTTCTGGAAGCAGCTGCACCTATTCTTGCACATCCTCCTCTGTCAATACAGCTGCCAGGCTGGTCTTTTTGAGTGCAAAACAGACCATATTATAAACATTTAAATTATTTCCCTTTGCTTTGACAAGGAAATTCATAGCCTTCAAAGCTATCCTGCATTGTCTATTTTCTGAAACCAATTCAATTTCTCTTTGATCCATTCTCTTCCCATATAAGTATGTTCCAGCCACACTGGCCACCATGATAGTTTCAAAAGTATACCAAAGTTACAAACAACCCAATTCAAAAATGGGCAACAAACTTAAATAGATATTTCTCTAAAGATAGACAAATGGCCAATAAGCACATGAAAAGACGCTCCACATTATTATTCATCAGGGAAATGCAAATCAAAACCACAATGAGATACTACTTCACACCTACTAGAATGGCTATAATAAAAAAAAAAAGAAAAACCCATAAAATAACAAGTGTTAGAGAGGATGTGGATAAATTGGAACTCTTATACATTGCTGGTGGGAATGTAAAATGGTGCAGTTGCTGTGGAAAACAGTTTGGCTGTTCTTCAAAATGTTAAACATAGAATTACCATATGACCCAACAATTCCACTCTGAAGTAAATACTCAAAAGAAATGAAAGCAGGGACTTGAACAGAGACTTGTACATCTATTGCAGCATTAGTCACAGTAGCCAAGAGGTGGAAACAATTCAAATGTCCATCAATACGTGAATGGATAAAATGTTATACACACATACACACACAATGGAATGTTATTTAGCCATAAAAAGCAAGAGTTCTGATACATATTACAATACAGACAAACCTTGAAAACATTATGCCAAGTCAAATAAACCAGACATAAAAAGACAAACATTTATGATTCTGCTTAGATGAACTATCTAGAATAGGCCAATTCATAGAGATAGAAAGTAGATTAGAGGTTTGCAGGGGCTGAGGGTAAAGAAGAACAGAGAGTTATTGTTTAATGGTTACAATGTTTCTGTTTGGGGTGATGAAAAGTTTTAGAAATAGTGCTAACAGTTGTACAATATTGTGAATGTAATTAATACTATGGAATTGTACATTTAAAAATGGTTAGAATTGAGGGGCTGGCCCCGTGGTCGAGTGGTTGGTTTCGCGCGCTCCGCTGCAGGCGGCCCAGTGTTTCCTTAGTTCGAATCCTGGGCGCGGACATGGCACTGCTCGTCAGACCACGCTGAGGCGGCATCCCACATGCCACAACTAGAAGAACCCACAACGAAGAATACACAACTATGTACCAGGGGGCTTTGGGGAGAAAAAGGAAAAAATAAAATCTTTAAAAAAAAAAAATGGTTAGAATTGAAAATTTTATGATATATGTAACTATAACTTCAAAGAATTAATAATGTAATATACAAAAAAAATACTGAATTGTACATTTTAAAATAAGTGAATTATATGGTACATGAATTGTATCTCAGTAAAGCTGTTTTTTAAAAATATTATATCAAATTAGTCACTGCTGGACTAATACAGCAAATAAAAAGCCATGACATTAGTAAAAACTTATGACTCCTCTAAAGTTCTAATAGTCACAGAATTATAGAATTTACTTATTCTCAAATTATAAATGCAAAAAAACTGTTTCATATTTACAGTGTTAACTAGAAGATATGAACCATGATACAGATTAGAATAATATACCTTTATTACTAGACTAAAGCTGTCTTTTTTTTCCTTTTTTTTTTTTTGCTGAGGAAGATTCACTCTGAGCTAACATCTGTGCCAATCTTTCTCTACATTTTAGTATGTGGGCTGCCAGAACAGCATGGCTGCTAACAGAGCAGTGTAGGTCCACAGCCGGGATCTGAACCCAGGCTGCCAAAGTGGAGCATGCTGAACTTAAATACTAGGTCACTGGGGTTGGCCCTAAAGCTGTCTTAACAAAATGAAAATTGAATGTTCTTAATGCTAGAGCATTAGATAATGCAATAGTGTTCAAATGTATAGTTACCAATATATATTTACATATATATCATATGTGAAGAACATGAAAACAATTAAATAAATGCAATGACTTAAAAACAGAAAACCCAGATACCTACTGCTGTCTTTGTAGACTAATAAAACGCAGGCCATTATCTTCAAAAGTTCAGCAACAACTACTGCTGTAGAAGATAGATAACGAGGTCCCTCCTCTTTTAAAGTCCTAGAATAACGCATTGTTAGAACCAAACTGGTAGTCTGAAAGACCAAAATTCCCAAGGAAAGGTACTTTAAGTTGGCAGACATTGTTTTATCTTCATCTACCTGAAAAACAAAATAAACAGGGCTAATAAACAAAACTAGAAAATACAGAAACTAATATTCAGGCATACCTCATTTATTGTACTTCACAGATATTGCAGTTTTTTTAACAAGACCCTCCACCACTGAAAAGATTATGACTCACTGAAGGCTCAGATGATGGTTAGTATTTTTTTTAGCAATTAAGTATTTTTTAGTTAAGATATGTACTTTTTTTTAGACATAATGCTATTGCAGTTAATAGACGATATAGTATAAACATAACTTTTATATGTACTGGGAAACCAAAATATTCATGTCACTCACTTTATTGCAATATTCACTTTATTGCAGTGGTCTGGAACTGCACCTGCAATATCTTGGAGGTACACCTGTATTAAAAACCAGTAAGAGACTTCTGGCTCCAGGCAAGATGGAATAAGTGCATTCCACTCTATTTTTCCTGCTAATTACAACTATAAACCCTGGACCAAAGACAAAGCAACTACCAGAAGACTTTGAAAGGTGAAGAAAATAAGACAGACTTTCTAGAGACTTCAGATCTTCAGCAATGAGTTCATTGGAGATTTTTTGCCACCTATGTATCTCACCCTGGGTGCTACAGCAGTACAACCCAGAACCACCAACAGGTATAAATCAACAACAAAAAAGGCCCAAGAAAAAAACCCATGGTCTCTAACCAAAGGACTGGGAAGACAGCAGCCCTGCAGGACAGAACCCTCCAAACTGGGTGCTGTGTGATCTGTGAGGCAGAGACTTACTGACCATCCCCACCCTGCACTAAAGAGAGCAGACGTGACAGCCCTCTCCCCCTCCCACCAGGGGCTGCAGCCACAGACTATGGGGGAAAAGCCCTGTTGACCATTCTTGCCCTAACAAGGTAAATGCCAGCAAAGAGGCAGCACCTTTCATACCTCCCCAGTGGCTAACCACTAATACAGAAGATTTAAGTAGGATCCAAAGCCTCATAATGTGACACTCAAAATGTCCAGGATACAATCCAAAATGAGTATACTCATCATACCAAAAAACAAGATAAATCTCAACTAGGATGAGTAAGGATAATCGACAACAACACCAGAGTTGATACAGATGTTGGAATTATCAGACAAGAATTTTAAAGAAGTTACCAGAAAAATGTGCTAACAACAAGCAATTATAAACATTCTTGAGAAATTTTAAACTCCCATAGTTGAAAACATAGTATAGGAGTATGTACCCTCTACCCAACTTCTGCCAATGGTAAAAGTTGCAAAGTTCATATATTTTCCTGAAAGTAATTCAGTATTAGCTCTAAGAGACTCACTTTTAAATCTGAAAATACAAATAGGTTAAAAACTAAAAGTACAGGAAAAGATATGCGATGAGAAAAATAACTATGAGAAAATTGGAGTGGCTATATTAATATCAGGCAAAATACATCACATAAGAATTATTTCTAGAGCTAAAGAAGGACATTTCATAATAATAAAAGAGTCAATATATCAGGAAGACAGACCGCTATAAATGCATATGTGCCTAATAACATAGCTTCAAAACACATAAAGCAAAAACTAACAGAACTAAAAAGAAAAACAGGTAAGTCCACAGTCACAATGTGAGATTTTAACCCACTTTTCTCAGTAATTGATAGAACCACACACAAAAATACCACTCAGAATTCAGAAGATCTGAACAACACTGTCAACCACTATAACTCTGTAGACATGGAGATGCTCCACTAAGATCCTCCTTCAAGGAAAGACAACGCACTGTGTGGTCAGTTTACTGCCTCTCCATCCAAAGTCACACCTTTTGCCTCAAATTCAATGAAATCCCAAACAAAATCCCTATAGGTTTTTTTGGTAAAAATTGACAAGCTGATTTTACAATTTATATGGAAATACAAAGTACCTAGACAACCAAAACAAGTTTGAAAAGGAAAGCTAAAGTAAAAGGAGTTAAACTACTGAAATTCCAGACTTACAATAAAGCTCTAGTAATCAAGACTGATATTGACACAAGGAGAGAAGTATAGATCAATGGAACAGAATAAAGTCCAGAACACGATCCATACATATTTGGTCAAATGATTTTGACAAAGATACCAAAAAGAAAGGATAGTCTTTTCAACAAATAATTCTGTAACAACGAGATACCTGCGTGTTTTTTTTTAAATGAACCTCTACCGTTATCTGCCTCATACCAAATATTAACTAGAAATGGATCACAGGCATGACATAAAAGCTAAAACTATAAATATGCAAGAAGAAAACATAGGAGAAAATGGTAGCTGCATAGAGATAAGCAAAGATTTCTTAGATAGGATACAAAAAACACAAACCATAAAAGAAAAATATGGATAAATTGGACATGATCAAAATTAAAAACTACTCTTCCAAAGATATTGCAAAAATAATAAGAGGCAAATCACATCATGGGAGAAAATATTCTCAATACATATATCTGACAATGGCCTTATATCCAGAATATATACAGAACTTGTAACAACAAAGTAAGTAAAGACAACTCAATTTAAAATGGACAAAAGATTTAAAAGCATTTCACCAAAAAGGATAAATAACTGTCTAATAGGCACATGAAAAGATGTTTAACATCATAGTCTTCAGAGAAATACAAATTAAAACCACAATGAGATACCATTATAAACCATTAGAATGGCTAAATCGTAAAAATTGATGCTACCAAGTGCAGGGAGGATTTAGAGCAAATAAAACTCTCAACATTGTTAGTGGGAATGTAAAATGGTACAACCACTTTGAAAATGTTTGGTATTTTACTAAAAAAAAGAAAAGAATCTTTTCATATGACCTAGCAATTCCACTCTTAGGGGTACTCAACAGATTTGAAAATACATGTCCATAACAATACCTGTACACGAATATTCATAGGAGCTTTATTTGTAACAGTCAGTAACAGGAAATAACCCAAATACCAAATAGGTGAATTACTAGACAAATTATGGTACATTCATACAATGGAATACTACTCAGCAATAAAAAGAAATGAAATACTGATACACACTAAAACATCAATGAATCTCAAAAACATACTGAGCAAAAAAAGTTTTGACAAAACAGTATATACTATATAACTCATTTAGATGAAATTTCAGAAAAGGCAAAACTAATCTGCAGGGGTTAGAATTGGGGGGTTGAGTGCAAAGGGACAGCAAGGAATTTTTGGTAATAGAAATATTCTGTATCTTGATTGTGTGGTGGTTATAAAATTATATTCATTTATCATAACTCACTGAACTGTACATTTAAAATGGGTACATTTTATTGTATGTAAATTATAACTCAATAAAGTTGATTAAAAAAATTAAAGATTGAAGACATACCAAATAGTAGCATTCCTCACCAGGCTTTCCTCCTAGCTTTGGTTCTGGCTCTGATTTCTTTGGATTAAGGTCAATGTCATTCTGTTAGTCTGTTCTTCACCTCAACTCTGTCTTTTCCATGATTCCATATTCCACCCTAAATTTTATTAATATGAACTCTGTTTATACTACATCTCTTTAGAGCTCTTACAACCAAGCCACCATTTATGGTTCTAGATATATGATTCTTTTTCTTTCCTTACCTCATAAGTATTATAATACCACGTAATATATTCAAACAGATTCAACAATCATTATTTAGTGCCTACAGTAGACACCATAGCTACAATATGGCCTATCCTTGAAGGCATAAAGTCTAGCTTAGTAAATTTAGCAATTCTGACCTCCAGTAGAATATACCCCAAACACAAACAATGTAGCACCATGAATATAAAATTTTTCAATGGTGAAAAATACATATAATGATTGGAAAAAAATATCTTAAGCATTTCATTTGAATTTCAGAAAAAAAATCTGAATATCTTTTTGTCACATATAAATTAGAGAATCAAGCTTAGAGGAAAGAAAACATAGACGTCTTTATCAACCATCTATCTCACTTTTCTAAATCTGCATTAGCAAAAGAGTCCTAATGTGAAATAAAATTACAGCATTTTAGGGGTAAAAGATGCTTTCAAAATTATCTAGTACAATCTCGTTATTTTAAAATCAAGAAAATAGTGAACAGAGAAGTTAGATGACTTGTTCAAGGTCATAAAATTACTAATTGGAAATACCAGGTTATGTAGTTACATATCAGGTTCCCTAGCTCCTGCTACATGCTACTGTAGAATTCCAGAGGACATCCTGGTGGCCTTAACTCTCTATGGAAGGAGAGCAAGTTGCCAACAATCTACATTTGGCATAAGAATCTGATTCTCCTGGAAAATGTCAAACAACGATTTCAAACATGTTCCAGGAAGTCTTTTGTTTATTCTGTCCAACTAAGACCATAAGTTACCTGTTATAACATCATTCCTCTAATTTCTTTTCAAATGAAAATTTAAAAGTCAGCTTCTAAGCTAGGATATACCATTTTTATAATTTTGCTTTTCCATTTCCAAGCATATACAACATCAATACAGACATTCACCTTAATAATACAGTTCTTAATTACTAATACAGTTCTTAATACTCTTAGTCTCCTACAATGTTTTTTATTAAGTCTGTGAGATAATAGACAAAATATATATTGGTCTCTGCCCCTGGCTCCTGACACAGGGCTCCTGACATCCTGGTAATTTCCTGGGTGACAGGAGTGTCTTTTGTTCTAATGAGGTAACTTTGGGTGGGCTTCTGGAAGGCTCCTGGATGAGGGCTGGTCACCAGAAAGAACCATAATTAGAAGCTTGGGATTTCTCAGCCCCACCCCCATTCTCTTGAGAAGGGAGAAGGGCTGAAAACAGAGCTAAAGATCAATCATGCCTATCTGATGAAGCCTCCATAAAAATCCCAACAGTATGGGGTTTGGAGCTTCTAGGTTGGCGAAAACATCCACAGTGTGTATAGAAGCACTCTATTTCACACACACAGAAGATCCTGTGCTGGGGACCCTCCCAGGCCTTGCCTTATGTATCTCTTCATCTGGCTGTTCATCCATATCCTTTAATAAACTGGTAAATGTGAACTAGTGTTTCCCTACGTCCTGAGCTGCTCTAGCAAATTAATGGAACCTGAGGAGGAGGTGGCGGGAACCTCCAATTTGTAGCCAAGGTGGACAGAAAGTTGTGGGTAACCTGTGGACCTACTACTTGCAACTGGCAACTCAGGTAGGGTGGGAGCAGTCTTCTAGGATTGAGCCCTTAACCTGTGGGATCTGATACTATCTCTAGGTGGACAATGTCAGAATTGAGTTAAATTGCAGGACATTCAACTGGTGTCGCAGAGAATTGCTTGGTGTGGGGGAAAACTTCCACACATTTGGGACCAGAAGTGTCAGTGAAGTGTTCTGTGTGAGGAGTAAAGGAGGCACACAGGAGAAAAAAACTGGGTTGTTTTTCTAATAAAGTCAAAAAGTAAAATATATATAAACACATGATTATTTGTACTAGATAATCTATAAAGAACTACAATTTAATTTCAGCTCTGCCTAAGGGCAGGATAAACTCAAAATGAAAAAAATCAAAATACTAGTATTTCTAAGATTATACAAATATGTAGTTTGGTTTTGGAGTACAATACAGGTAAAACTAAGTATTTTCACTTAATACAAACCATAAATGCACAGCAACTCCATATATTGAAAATCAACCAAAACAAAGATTACGTTCCACTTCTCTATAAGATTAACATTGTTTCTTCATTTTAAAGTCTACAATATTTTCCTATTATAATTGAAAACAAACTTTAAACAATTTCATGTTAAAATTTAATTTCAGTCCAACCTAGATTTCTCTCTTACCACCTAATTTTCCTTCTTTTATCCTTTCAGGTGTTGCCAATCTTCTGGTTCCCAGATTATTCTTTGTTTCATAAAAATTTCCTATCTGAGAAACTTACATACCAATAATCAACAAGAAACTGTGCTAAGTTCTTTCACAAATGTAACCTCATCCTGTTTACTGTCAAAAACCTCAGGAACCAGACAGCATATTACTGCCCACGTTCCTTTAAGGACCCACTTGGGGTTCAGTGAGGCTCTCACTTTGATAGCAGGGTCAGAAGAGTCCGGATGCTTGGATGCTCCACTTTCACCTCAACAGCTAAGACCTGAAAACTGCACTCTTCCTGATTACTACAGTAAATGACACTATTTCATTCTGATGGCTTTCCTTTGTTTTGCTCTGTTTTTTTAAAAAAAGCATTTATTATTTTATTTACTTTAAAAAGTAGTATACTCTTGGATGAGAACAATGTAGAAACTTTAAAATTATATTAATAAGTAAAAATTTGAACCATAATCCCACCACCCAAAGTGGTATAGAGTCTGTCAATTTTTCTTATTTCAGTTTTTTGGAAATCCCTAAACCCCAGGACTTTAGCAGCAAAGGGAAAATAAAGTACCTAGACCATTTCATATTCCCAACAAAATGATTTCAACAACTGTTTGGGCTTCTTAGTTATACAGAAAATAGTCTTGTAATCACAAAGTTCCCCCATTTATTTAAAAAATAACATCTTTCTTGAGGGAAGAAAACAGATATTGAAGACACAGGAAAGTACCAAGAATATAACAAACATCCATGATTCCACCACCCAGAACTAACAAGTGTCAATCTTGTCATATTTGCTTATCCTTCCTTGCATAAAGGAATAAAACATTACAACTAAAGTCAAAGTTTAAATCCTGTTCCTTTCCCTCTCCCCAGCAGGAGCCTATTATCTTGATTAGAGTATACATTTCCTGTCCACTTTTCAAAATTTTATATACATATATATACTCTTAAGCCATACATATTTTAATATACATACATGCATCAAACTGTATACATTATTCAGCACCTCTCTTACTTTATTCAGCATTGTTTTGCCACTACATGCTACTGTGTTGATATATAAACCTAGTTCACTGCTTTGAACAACTTTATAATGTTCCATCAAATGAGTGGACCTTTTATTTACCCATTCTTCCACTGATGAACATTTAGGATACTTTCTTTTCCTTTTAAAGATTTAAATTTGAAAATCTTAAAATTTCCTTAAAATTTTTCAACAAGTAGCTCCTAAATATTATATAAGCTACAAATATCTTAAGCTATTTTTCTAAAATTTAATATTTTATATGATTTCTCAGGTATCTTCCAGTTCCAACACTAACACACACACACACTCCTATTAATCTAATTTCAATTTTTTCATCTAAGAGTTTTGTCTGAATTTTTAAACTGTAAACTTTGAGTGTACATACATAGTAATATACAACTTATGTAATACTTAACTATTGGATAAATAAGAGTGTATAATTGTTTTATAATAACATATAATTGTAATCTTTGTGTATTGTAATCTTTGTGATCATATATACTACAATCACACTGATTTAATACAAGCAATTACACTACTGGTACTTTCAAAAGTCCTTTGCACAAGGAATATATCAGGATTTGGTCAGTTGCTCTAATAGATCTTGCACTTGCTTTCCAATTACTGTTTTTCCTCTGAATTTTTAAATAAGTTTGATATTTATAAAGTTGAGTTTCATTATTTTAAATCTTTTCTCACCTCTTGGGAGAAAAATGTACAACAAAACTTCACTCATCTAATAAGCTCTATCCATTTGGATTTGATAAGTTTGGATGATCGCTTGGTTAGAACTTACTTTTGCATTTTGTACAAAAAATATTAGTAAGTTTACTTAGACTTCAAAGAAGTTCTCAGTAATTATTTAATAGTCTTAAGAAAAAAAAGGTTTTTCAAACACTCTAGAAGGTATAATTTAAGTACATTTGATATGCTAATTACATGTCCCTCATTTTCATTAAAGTATCTCCCAAAGATCCCTGCTTTATAATTCTTTGTCAGCCAATTCTGAGTTACTTTGCAGGCTCTAAATGTTTAAAAAATATACATTACATAAGGTATATTATTGCTACCGTCTCCACCCCCAAATTAATCAGGATTAGTCAGAAATTACTTGTTTACACCATCATTATTGCATTAGATATGTATTAACTAAGTTCTGAAATATTCAAAACACTGTATACTAATAATTTCTATTCCTTTTTCAAACTGATATGTAGCTAGGTAAATCTGAAAATCAGTCTGACTCTTATTTCAAAGAGCTTACCAACATATATGTACAATCTTTAGGTCTATGTATGAAGCCCATCATTCTACTGCGACAGTAATATCTGTATTTTACCAATATGTCTCCAGCCACTAAAAGTCTTAAAAAACTAAAAGTTTAGTCCATGTTTTAAAACTGTAACAAAATTTATACAGATTTTTAAAGACTACTAAGTACCTAAGAAATTCTGCAAATCACTTTTCCTTCTACTGTAAAAACAAAAGGCTGAATTTCTAACTTATGGTTTTTATTTTATTTATTTATTTATTGTTACAGATTTTATTTTTCCTTTTTCTACCAAAGCCCCCTGGTACATAGTTGTGTATTTTTTTAGTTGTGGGTCCTTCTAGTTGTGGCATGTGGGATGCTGCCTCAGCATGGCCTGATGAGCGGTGCCATGTCTGCGCCCAGGATTCGAACCACCAAAACCCTGGGCCATCGAAGTGGAGCATGCGAACTTAACCACTCAGGCACGGGGCCAGCCCCATAACTTATGGTTTTCAGAGTGAGATATATTTACAATTCTAAACATCAGTTCTGAAATATACTAAGTATAATATAACAATCTACTAGAGGTTAATGACATAATAGAGTACATATGAAAACACACAAGTTATAAAGTGCTATGCAAACATAAGTTCACATTACATACTAGTCAAAAAGAGCTATTGGTGTAAAAACAAACCGTTTAAGGTTTTTCCAAGTAAATGAGCAGAAAAAGTAAATACATACAGAAATGCTGACCTCAGCTACAATTTTTTGTCCATTATCTTCCATGATGCCAAAACTTTAAAACTGCCACTTGTAACTGTACTCCAAATAACAACAAATAAAATTCATCACAATTGGCTTTACTTCTGACACTGGCATTTATATATAACTTCTTTTCAAACTACCTCAGAAGTAGATACAGTATTCCCAAAAAGTAGCAACAATATGCTGTACTTGCAGTCCATAAAAATCCCATGGAAAATCTAAAAATTGTATTTTTTATAAAAGTGAAAGAAATATGAGTCGAAGGTAATTTGCACTATTGGTATAACCAATTTTGTGTCTATGATAGAAATAATTACTTCCACTAAATTATTTCACTCTTAAATGCTTACAAAAAGCAAAATCCTGCTCAATAACACTTTACAACTGACCCTTTACCATCTGTGGTTCCTATTACATTCTAAGTTGAACAACTTTTCATTGTTTCTCCTTCCCTTTCTTCCTCAAGGTGTCAAGTGTCTGTTTACATAAGACAATATGACCTGTATGTAAGTTAAAGTACTGCCAATTTTTAACTTGTTCTTTCACAGATGCAGAATTCCACTCCTACATTCAGGTAGAATCAATAGTACTTAAATATTTCTTCAACTATACAAACATAAAACCTATTTGCATACTAATTTTTAGATTAAAAATTGTTCAGTACTATTGTACTCATTAAGTAAAGTCAATGATTGGGCAAACATAATAACCTAATTAAGTATAGCTGTAAGACCCTCTTTGAATCGATGATGCCACGTAAAAATGTTCTCCTTCCCACCCTCCCAGTTCCCCACCCCTGTGCTATTCTGCTCTACCACTTTTCTGCTATGGTCATTTCCCCCAACTTACAGCTAAAGGCAGAAGTTAAAGGTATTCTACAAAGAAGAGATACAGTCCACAGGTACTAACCAATAGTAAAGGCTCAAGACTAAAGAGATTGGGGGCAGAAGTGAAAAATAAAGGTATCACACAACTCTCCACAACCGATGATCAATATTTAATACATATTTACTATGGTCAGGCACTGGGACGAGCATTGGGTACACAACAAAGAACAAAACAAATAGAATCTGTTTCTTCATGGAGCTTATCCTCCAGCTTAGAAGACATTTAAATAATTCAAAAAAGAGTCTAAGTGTGTAAACTGCTATGACATAGCGCACAATAGGAAAATATCATAGGGAAATTAGGGTCCTTGGTTAAACTCAAACACATTTCCCAAAATCCTCTTCTCTGTATGGTGCCAAGTGAGAACTGGCTAAACCAAAATCTGCACAAGATCTGGATGGCAGAAGTGAAAAAACAGCCATTACTCTCAGAAGATTCTCAGGGTTAAATGTGCTGAAACAGAAACAGAAGCGCCAGCAGGCTCCAGTTTATCCTCTCTTCCCTGCCCTCAGTCAGCTCTTCTTCCCAACTGCTGACCCTACTAAGCAATAGTGAGCCCAGGCTCTCCAGGAGATTTTTGACTGGGGACATAGAGAGACAGCTACACAGAAATCACAGCTTTCCATAAACTTTTCCACCAGCATCACTGTATGGTCCCACTCTGGCTGCAGGACATGGCTGGCTTCCTAGATTCCTGTGAAAGCTCTGACTTGCCTACCTGCACCAGTCTTTCAGGAGGGCTGCTGAGCGACTTTTCAGTAATCCTCCAACACTCTCTTCTTTGACCTTCACTTCCCCTGCTTCTCCCACAGTTGTGAAAAGTCTTATTCCTATTATAAATTCCTTATTCCATAGTGGTGAAGTGTTCTGTTTCTCTACTGAGCCCCAATTGACACAGTTTTTGGTACCAAATGTAATTCCAAGGTAACAGAACCACAACAATAGGAATATAGAATCAGTTTTCTGATCTGACTAAATTTAAGGGCATTAATGACCCTATTACCAGTGGTAAAGGAGACACTGGTAGTTCACCATGCCAAGGCAAAAATTACTTAAATTATCACCTTTAAACACTTATACTCAAGATGAGGCTTTGGGTGATCAAGTAGTAGCTGCCACAAACATGGTATTGGAAACAGGCATATAATGCTGTTCACTGGTTGCTTCTAAGTGAACTAGAAAACTTGGAGAAAGAAAATAATGAACTTGAGGGCCTAAAATTCACAGCCCAAAGTCCACATAAGGAATCAGAAAGCTTTATAACTGCCCTAAAACAACTTCTTATCTCCTTTGGTTACAAGGTCAACATTTCTGAAAACCACATCCAAAGTCTGATCTTGTAGTAGGCTGAAATAAAAAGCAAATTGAGTTTAAAACTTTACAGGTTTTCGGGGTCCTATATTCTACATATTTTTATAATCTCTATATTCTAGCACATGACCAGACATCAAAAGATGCTTGAAGATATTAGTAGGCTGAATAATGGTCCCCCAAAATATCAGGTCCTAATCCCTAGAATCTGTAAATGTTACCTTATTTGGAAGATTAAGTTAAGATTATTCTATATTAGCTAAGAGAGCCCTAAATGCCAACACAAGTGTCCTTATAAAAGATAGAAGAGGACAACACAGATACTCAAGAGAAGGCAATACGAAGATGGAGCAGAGAGAGATTTGAAGATGCTGCCCTTGAAGACTGGAGTGATGCAGCCACAAACCAAGGAATGTTGGCAGCCACGAGAAGCTGGAAGAAGAAAGGAATGGATTCTGCCTTAGATGCTCCAGAGGGAGCACAGCCCTGCTGACACTTTGGTATCAGCCCAGTGATAGTGATTTTGGATTTCTGGCCTCCAGAACTGTGGGAGAATATATTTCTCTTATTTTAAGCAACCAAATCTGTGGTAATTTGTTACAGAAGCCACAGGAAACTAATGTAAGTATCTAAGTCTACATTAAAAAAATTTTATGTTTCTCCATTCTACTCAGGCAGAAAGTATTTAATATGTTTAGAAGGAAGACTGGTTAAAATGAAGTTTTCAGTATTCAAAAGAATTAATAAATTACTAGGAAAACTGAGTTATACTGAAGAGTGCATAGATTGGTTCCTGGTACATAGTATGTACTCAATAAATATTTTTAAAATAAATGCCAGACTGAGTAACAAACCAAGGATACCAAATAAGTGAGATATTACTCTAGTGATCTTCTGCCATGGGAAATGCAAAGCCCATCCACTTGGTTCACAAAACTAAACGGTTAATAATAACATTTCTACAGGGAAGGTAATGACTTGACTAATGTTATAAAGTAATTCTTCTACTATGGCTCATTTCAGAAAAGACCAATTTCTTTGCTATTTTAAAGGACATAAATGGCAGTACAGATTGGCACTATTTTTAATTGTGTCTTTGTTTTTATAGCCTGAAATTTTTTTTTTTTCTGGGAAGATTGGTCCTGAGCTAACATCTGTTGCCAATCTTCCTTTCTTTTTTCTTTTTTCTTCCCAAAGCCCGAGTACATAGTTGTATATCCTAGTTGTAGGTTATTCTAGTTCGTCTATGTGGGATGCCACCACAGCATGGCCTGACAAGCAGTGCCTAGGTGAGTGCCCAGATCCAAACTGATGAACCCTGGGCCACCAAAGTGGAGCACATGAACTTAACCACTCCGCCACAGGGCTGGCCCCCTGAAATATTAATAGCATATGATCAGATATAAAGTTTATAAGCTAAAAAACAATTCCCAATTTTAAGTTTTCTGTCCATACTAGACTATTCTCAAACTAACTCCTTTAACATAACTTATTGCCCAGTTTCAGGTACACTACATGGGTCAAAACATGCCATCTGAAATATATCTATTTATATGCAGAAGGCCTAACATAATATAATCATTTTATAAGATAGTGTTGCTTTTCAAGCACTAACATTAACAACAAGTTCCCAGCATTTTCTAACCATTTTTCAAATGTTTAAGTATAAAAATGTACAAGGTAATCAAGAATAATGTTTAGCTATTTATTTAATTCAGCCTGAGGATACACCTGAAAGGTGACGGGCCTTAAAAAATTTCTTTTTGTAGCATTTGCAAATGGTAAAAATTTTAGAAAAATGTGTTATCAGTGAAAATAACTGAAACTTAATAGAACATATAGAATGAGCTGGTATTTTTGGATTTATGGTCTGACAAGCTTCAAGAATTTTAAAACTTTTTCTAATGCTGGCTGTTAACTGTGCTGGGGTAATTACCATCTCCCCTAAGGACAAAATTCCAGTGTTAGAACTCAAATGCTGTGTAGTGTTTTTTTTTTTTAACCACCATGCTTTCTAAAAATGAAATCGCAACCACTCCCTGGTAAACCTACAGTCTTAGAAGTTTATATACACTATGGACTTATAAACTACATAGAATATGAAGACATTCCAATTACCTTGTTCAGTATTTACTGTTCAAGTCTCATGTCACTCTGTGTCCTAACTGATGAGGACAGCCTTCAGATTCTCATAACTCTAATCTATCCTCTCTACAGCAGATATCTTAATAAAATGTAGATGTGATTACATTCCTTCCCTGTTGGTAAAGTTTAATTGACTATCAAATAGAAGATACACATAAAACAGTCCCTGATTAACCTCATGAATTTCCTGCCATAAACTATTAC